ATAGTAAAATGTATTGATTAGGTGGTAAGATAAATATATTTTGAACTAAAGCTGATTTCTGTTTATTATGACATGTTTTAAAGTCTCCTATGTCACAGTTTACATTGAAAAGTGTTATGCTACTACATTTTACATAGTCCTTTTATTACCAACAAAAATTCTTAGTATTCTATATTTATTTATCACTTTAAGCATACCATTGTAATAAGTAATAGATAGTTGGTTGAGTGGTTAAACTGCTCATTATATACAAAGGTAAACAGGGCTGTAATAGCTATTTACCTTACAAGTGTAGTAAGAGCGTTTTTACATCACGCAGGTGAAGGTTGTGCAACGAGCGGAAGCGAGTTGCATAATTTACCTAAGTGATGTAAACACGCTCTTGCGTAACGTGTAAAGTACAAGATTTTACCTGACCCGAAAATATACAGGAAGTCATGAACAATATTTTTCATTATCCATTTCACTCATCTTCTAACAGTAACGTTAATTTACAAACAAAAGCTAGGTTAGGAAAATTATTCAAAACATAACAATAAAATTCAAGCGCACAGCTGATTTCTAGCGTTGAACGTCGTTGGCTCCATAGAGGTATATTTTTTAAGTTAATCACTTAATGTTATTTAAATGGGTTTCATTACCTCACCGAGTGAGATTTTTTCAACTTTACATCACTCGAGAAGTAAAGAAGTTGTATACACCACGCTTGGGATAGGGAAGTTTAACATGGCGGGTTAGGTAAAAGCTCATAAATGTTTGTTCATCATATATTTTTTCTGCACAACTTCAAAATAAAACTATTTTAACCAAATAAAACTGTGATTATAAACTATTGCTATTGTCCTCTAGTATTATAAGCACGCAACCAAACACTTAAATGTCAACCTCAAAATGGAGTGAAAGATACAGGAGTATAATAGAACAATTAATTTCATTTAAGTAAAAGTAACTATGGAAACTAAAAAGTTATCACCAAAAAAATTCAAAAGGCCAGCTGGTAATAGTTGCCATCAGCCACGGCCACCTTTAACTCCAGGCCGCGGCCTGGTAGAATTGGCAACGTCGCAAGTAGTGTTGTTTATAGCGCCAGACGTCCATAAGATAACGTGGCAGACAGATGACATCAGCTCATTAATTTGGGTATTATTCATTTAAATTTATATTTATGAACATAAATGTATTAAAAGATTGAAAATAAAACCTATAAAATTGAAAACCAAAACAATATAAATTTCAAAATCTATTTCTGTTCATTTAAAGCGGAGTTAATATTTTTATAGTAACCAAGCTTTCGTATTCTTAAAAAATACACAATTACCATTAGCTACCTCCAAACAAAACAGCTGTTACAACACTACTTGCGACGTTGCCACTTCGAAGGCCGTGGCCTGGAATTAAAGGTGCATCAGCACCCTTGCAGTATCCAAAGTCAATGGTGTATCCGTATATCTTTCTAACGGGTTTAGCCCTAGATAAAACATAGTTTAACTTATAAAAGTGAATTCTATGTTACAAAGAAATCTTAGAATTACAGTATTAAAGTATGTTTAATCTATGGTAGAGTGTTTGACAATGCACAGAAAACAACTAACTTACTTCCCTCCCCTTCCCCATAATGCACATGATTGCAATATCTTAAAAAAGATCTTTCTAAAAATTCATAACAGAACGATTAAACATGTGATCAGCTGTTTGGCTAATAGAACGTTAACCGCTTTAATTTAGTCAGGCAGAAATAATAATTGCATACTGTTAGACACTGCATTCGTTTATAAACATATTCATTGCCTGTTTGTAAACAAATACAGAATAACCTCCAGTGTAGAAGGCCTTGCTAGGTTAGCTGTTTTCAAGGTTAGGTTTATATTTTATTCTATGGAGTTTCGTTTGAAGAGTATACTTTGGTTTGGCATATCGACGGTCAAGTTTGAAGCCAGTATTACCTTAGCTAGAAGGTAAGTGCCCTGTAGAATGTCTTGAATTTTGTCCAATATCAAGGATTCCTTTTATTGGTAATATTGGATCGGTGTTATAATCGTACCCGAATTGTTAAACGATTTCTGACATTTCATAGAAACTTTCAGTGCGAAGACAGTTTTCCTCACTTAAAATTGAAAACTTTTAGCGTTCCCATATAGGGCATAACCTATAACTGTAAGTTTCGTGGTATTAGACCTAGACCCGGGACCGTTTTACTTTTTCGTTTTGATGTTCCTAGAGACCAAAACACCATCCGATCAAATTCATATATTTAATTTATATGCGTCTGGAAGGTAAATCCTGTAAATATCGTCCGATTTTAGTGAAATTCGGTAAAACGTTAATCCTAGTTTTATTATGGGAACGGGAGAGTTTAATGGGCGTTTAAAGGGAGTTAAATGGGTTAAAAAGTTGGATTTTCCCTTTTTTTTATCAAAAAAGATCAAATTTGGCAGTTTCTTTCCAAGTATTTTTTTTAGAGTATTATTGTATTATTTTCTAATGGTAATGGAGGAAATTCATTTTTTTCTTTTTAAATTTAACAACTTAACAAACCACGAACAAAAACTATAAATTTAAAATTCCTTTGTTTATCTTAACAGAATAATTTTATTGTTGTTGTTTCATTGTTTATGGATATCCTTTGATTGGATTTGGTACATGTATCTATTAAACAAAATATCGTTTATGATATTCCTTGTACTCACTTAGGAGCAAACCTTTTTGTGATTTCTACCTTTTAATGGTAGAACAGATTTCAACCTTGTAGTGGGTGTCTCAGCCTATCAGTAAATAGTTGAAGTAGTAGATTGTTGCTATGCCTTTGTCTGATAATGCAGCAAGCCAGTTCAAGCCACATGATGTGTATGGGTCATAGTAAGTTTTTCAACCAACCGTGATGTAATTTTTGCTTGTTTTTACGCAAGAAAATTTCAGAGACATGTTTTTCTCTCATGTTATTAATTTTTTTGGTAACTGCAATACTTTTTAGTACATAGTAAATTGTCAATAATATAAATTAAAGTAATTTATTATTGTTTATAGGAGTAATTTATATGTTTTCGGTTAAAACGTAATATCACTATTGACAACATAATACGTTTTATATTAAAACAAATGTTTTAAAGTTTGTATAGTGTTTATTTGTCTTGTAATGATACCCCATCTTGCCCTCACTGCAGGGCAAGATGGGGTACTTGGTAAACTATACATAAAAAGTTGTTTATATATAAGTTTTTAAGCTAGACGACTAAAAACATTTATATATACTCTATAAAGACTGAAGTTTAAGTTTCAATATCAATTAGGAAGCTTTCCAAAAATTATTAAATGCTTCAGTACCCCATCTTGCCCCACCTTCCCCTAGTCGCTTCTGCATCTCAAGCACTGCACCTTCCGGGCCACAATACTATAACACTTATGACTACCATATTTCTTAGGAAAGGGTTATCAACACAACTGTGAACTGTTAAGTTTGTAGAGGCGATAGATCAGAGTTTAACGTCGTGTAGATATTATCAACACAACAGAAAATGCTTACAAGTACCTGTTCATTATGACTTTCCCGAACCAGATTTAGCTCTTTTTTCCGTTTACTTTTGAATTTTTTGTTTCAATCCCGTTATAACATTTAACTTATGAAATAGGTTGTTGACAAGCTAATGGAAGAAAGTATGTGTAAGATTGCTGATACCGTTTATTTTCAGGTAATACATGAAATAAGGTAGGTACACTTTTGTGATGGTCGTGATTAAATTAACTTTTACTAAACATTTTTCAAGTCAAAATATCAGAAAAATTAACCAATATTTGTTATTGTTCTTTGTTTTTGTGTTTTATTGGTGTATGCCTGTTTAACAACAGTTTTATATATTTTTAAATAAAGTGGCTATATCAAAATTTGATTACAGTGGAATAGATTAATATACAGTGTGTAAATTAAGTCTGGCACACATTTTTTATCTTTTTTTCTACAGTAGATAGAAGAAATCAATTTGCAGGACTGATTGAAAACAAATGTTAGGCACTTTTTACAAATTTTGAAAATAAAAATTCCCTTAAGGGCAAGGGGGGGTGGGGGGTAACTAAAAATTTTCAAATGACAACCCCTATCTTGTGACCCCTCATTTTAAAGGTCATTGGAAGACCTTAAGTTTTAAATTCAAACCAGAGAAAAATTTGAATAATTTATTATTATTTTTTACTGTCTCTGTCTCTATCTCTTTTTTACTGTATTACTGCCTCTGTTATACTTATTCTATTTCAAAATTCTACATTAAAAGCTGGTCTGTTCATATCCAGCTATGTCTTCCTTTGCTTTAAAACTAGTTCACTAAACAAATTGCAAACTACCTATGTTTTCTATTTTTAAATTATGTTGATAATCCTTTTTTAGTCTACAGTCATCTGATAAAGTGGGCTTCCTGACACTGATTATAGTGCAGAAAGCTGCTAAATGCTGTATTTAATTAATTTGCCACACTATTTTTACTTTTGTCGCACTCCAATATTCCACAACAACGCAAAACAGCGCGCTTTTATAAGGCACGTAATACGCGTACGCTTGAAAATAAGTCTGCAACACTACGACTACGATCAGCTGTTGTAGTGTTTCCCATTTCGTTCAACGCTTGGATTTCCCTTAACCTAAAACGTGTTGTTTGGTGTTTTGAAAGACTAATTTTATAATAACTGTAGGAAAAATCTAATGTGTAACACGAGTGCAAATTGCCTAGTTACACAAATAACTATATTATCTTCTTGTCTCATCGATTAAGAAACCAAGTCATATATAAGAGACCAGGAAGGACCATACGCAACAATGGAAACAGCTGATTTAATATAACAATGTTCAAATACATCTGGAACTCAATTATCTTCAAAGCTCACTTGGCTGCAGTCGGAGCGCAACGGGAAAACATAATAAAAGGTTCGGGACAAAACGAAGTGAATTACAATACCTGTCGGACAGGTTCGGAGTTTGTGAGAAGCTAACCTCAATCGCAGTGGAGTAGTGACGTGGTTCACATCGCACCGTCGCGAAGACGTTCACATGTTTACATAACTTGTGATAAACGTTTTAATTGTTGTCAGTTATCAGCTGTTTTGATGCCACGAGCACAGTGCCAGTTTGTGCGTCGCTGTAGTGATAGACTTTGGTAAGTTGTTGTGAACTAGATTTTTTAAGATAACTAGTTTAGTTTGAGTATTATTTGTTGTTGTTGTTGTTTTTTTTTATGTTTATACGGGCTTATTCGCTTTTGTTGTTTAATTTTAATTCATTCTATGTTCATAAAAAGCGATAAGTTAAGTAGGCTATGCTAAGGTTAGTTTGTTATTTTTATTTACCAATTTCTTTGTTTTACAAGATGAAATTGACTTGAGTTTCTTTAAATGGGCATTTTTTCATACTGTGTAAGAAATATTCCGGAGGAATAGAGAATAATAATATTATTGTTAAAATAATAAATAAAATTGAATCAGCTGATAATAAGGTCACTGACCTTTTTATCATAGGTGACAAATTTTCTAAGTACATTAAGATACATAAACTTAAATTGACTCTCAAAATCGCTTGTTTGGTCATATTTTGATCAAATTTGGGAAATGCATTCATTTCATACTAAACTATTAACATTTTACAAAAAACACCTTCTTACCCTCCCTGTTGCAGCAAACCTTAGTACTCGTTAAACTAATGTTATTTAAATAGGGAATAAATGTAATATTTCTAAGGAGACATTTTAGTGTAAATCCAGGCAAATGGAAATTCGCTTAGTCTGCAGGTTTGCTGCGGCGGGGGTATTTTTACTGGTATTTATGTTTAAGATTCATATTATCTTATTGCTTTAATATAACAGTTTATTTTGGAAATTACTTACATGTTTCTAAACAGTGAGTTATATTCTAGTTAAGTAGATTATGTACCAGCAAAATTTTAATTTTTTAATTTCTCAGATGTTAATTTTTCAAAAATATACTATGTGATTTTTGCTACGACACCAAATTTTAGTGGTGTAAATAATTACTATAGATTGAATTTTAAATTTCAAACTCTTCCTTTCTTCTATCAGCAACACCATATCTTCGAACTTTGTTAGTATATAATCTGATTCAAATAAAAAGACTTTTTGACTAGAAACCAATTTGAAAAAAATATTAATGTGGTAACGCAATTGTAGTTGTTTTATCAAAGTCCAATAAATTGAATACACCATAGTAGTATGTGTGAGCAAATATATTTTGTCCATGATTACTGCATGTTATTATAGAGTCAGTTATTTGCATAATGAACTGTCAGTCATTTCTCATTTCCCATTTCTCCTTGATTGGTATAGGAGCCATATAGGTGCCTATGATTGATCCATAATATTCGTTGTTTCCATGGTAATCTGTAGTGTTCTGTGTAGGTGGTCTCATAAACGGTTCAAGTGATTGTTGAAAGCATGACACCTTTTATCTTAACTAAAATTTTCTGCTAAGCCTACTCCACGGTTGTTATTGAGAGAAATCAAGTTAGACATAAACTTAACTGAAACTAAATTAGTTACAGTAGAGGTGTATTAGGTTAATTTGAGGTTTGTTTGTGGGATAATAATTATCTTATACATTTGTTTTGTATTTACTGGTGCTTCAAGATAGGCCTATGTATGTTATAGTGATTTTATCTGTGAGAATTTTATGTAAGTCTACTTGACTTTTAATCCTTACATAAATTAATGTAAGACAACTATGGAGTTTATTATTTTTTACTGTATTAAACCCTTTCTAATATCATTAATTGATTCATAGTTTGATTTTAAACCAGTAAAAAGGCTGTTATGCATATTGTTGTGTGCTTGTTTGGTAGTATATTGTTAAAATATTTGTATTTATTTATTTTATTTATGTATTACTGATTATAACTTTTCTCACAATTGTTACTCAACTATTCTTATTGTTAAATGTAAATTCATTATTATCCTTGAATAAATTTCAATGAAAGGATTTAGAGATTTTAGGATTCAAAAAAGTGTTAAATCCTTTCTTAAATCTCATAGTCTTTATTTGAAAATTACAACAAAAAATTCAAACTATTTATTGCTGATGTAGTAGTCAATTAAAATTCAAGATCAGATAGTTTCCCTCAACTTTGACATCTTATCTAACATAAGGTTATTTAATCTTTCACGCTATGAATGAATGGCTATTGGAATGGAATTTGTACCATCTGTTTTAATAGTAAATTTTCATTTAGCTACAAGAATCTCTTCTTTTAATTCAAGGAATTAAAAGCTTTTTGTTTTTCTGTCTTAACACAGATTTAAAATTCATTATGTTTGTCTGGGGAGCGAGCTGGTCTAGTGTTTAGAGTGCGGGACTTCGGTCCCTTAGGTCCCGGGTTCAAATCCCGCCAAATCACCAATGGATGGACCAAGAGATAGTGCCGTAACCCCTAGGTCTAGCCTGAAGTAATGTGAAAAAAACAATACCGGGCTCTCGTGCCTAGCATTCTAGGGGAAACAATCAAGGAATTAAATGTACTTACAAAATTTTACTGGGCAGTTTTTCAATGTTAAATCAGGAAGCAAACAGTTTTCCTTTTTTGTGTCTTTCAAAACTTTTAAACTACCCCCGGTATCTGTTGTTATTAAAATATTTGGATAAGAATAAAGAAGCTCTCGTGAAAAAAATAGGAAAGAGAAAATATAAAACTATTATCAGGATTTGTTGCTCTTAATCCAATGTACTATCTAGGTTAAGATGACACCTGTCTATCGATTGTAGGATTTGTCTTCATTGTTAGATGTGTACTATCATCCATCATAGTACATCATTTTTATGTATTTTAGTCTCTTTTGATTGATCTGATATATATATATTTTGTAGTAACTGGTGCACTTTCTATAAGGAAATTTTGGTCACATTTTGTCATAAACAAAAACAAAAACTACTCCCTAATCTAGAAAGCATACAGCATCAATGAGTGCCCTCCTAAATCTGTTCAGGTACTCATCTAATAAGAGTATCTACCACTTCACTAAACAAGATATAACAGACACCAAGTACTTTGTTTACAATTTAAACAGAATACAAATATGCAATACGAATGCATGTTGAGTGTAAAATGGAGTGGATGATCTGAGTAGCTTTGTTACTGACTAAGATCAGCTGTTTATTTAGCTATGATAGTTTATTAGAAACGATCAATTACAGCTGAGTTATTCTCTATTAAAAAGCTAATTACTTTTTCTCAGGATTGAACTAATGACCTTCATCTAACTTGAGGTGAGCATAGTAACCACTCAGCTGCACAGCTACTTTTCTGGCTACCAGACTGCATTTTCTTTTTATTTACCCCGAGGTGGATGCGCTCTCCTCAACCAATGGAGTACCACTATGAAGTATCCTTATTCTCCTCTTACAGTTAACATCCTTAGACTGTCAAATCAATGTCTCCGGGTGATGACCCTCTTCAGTTGAATAGTAGTTTGTCCTGAAGATGAATAGTTGGTGCTACACATCCAAAATTTCTGCCTCTAGTATCACTCATTCAATGACGCGGTCACCCAAAGACCTAGATTTGACAATCGTCATCTTGGTCCTTAGACTGGTTTCCTTTTGCAAGTATTATTCACTCCAATCCTCAATGTTGTTTCAGAGAATGACTCTGCCAAGGGTGAACATTGATGAGCCTCGCTGGGACCAAAGTACATACTGGGGAAGAGCCAAGTACTTCTTCACAACAACCAACCCTCTCAACATATTTTGTTCTGCGGCTGAACTAGACAAAGCTAAGGCTATTGTAGATAAGTACAGGTAAATATTCTGTTATACTTGTACAGACTCTACAATCATAAAACTACTAGGTACCTACTCTTTATATTCACAAAATCAATGTTTCACTCTATTATATTTTCTTTGTTTGTACTGATGAGTACAGAACCTGCCATTTGTTGAAAAGGAAAGGGACTTTAAAATAATTTCATAGGGGGGCTTGGGCTATATAGTTCTTCTTGGGGAATATTTTCTTAACATACCAGGCTGTAAACTTGCATATTGGGGCAATCTGGAGGACACCAAAGAGGAGTTCCTCACCATGCTCATTACTTAGTTTAAAAAAAGGTTTTCATATATTATTCCACGTCAAGGGGCTTTCCCCTGGATCTCCCATATATATATTGTTTTTCTGGGGTGCTTCATATTGAAGTAATGTAATTGCAAGTCAATTTGGAAATATTATTATGGTATAGACCGATGTATCCTGACTGAAGTTCAAGTTGTAAAAACTCATCATGGTGCCTGCAAGGGGAGAGAGGTGGGTAGCAACCTTCATCCCCCTGCCCTTGAGAAAAACTAAATTTAAAATTCAATATGCAGGGTTAGGTTTTAAATGAATTTTATGGACAAATAAGTATGTTTAAACATAATTCCGGCTTTGCACAACCGACAATCAATTTTTAATGTGTTTTATAATCACATACAACTTTTTGTGGAGGAGTGCCTTTTCCTCTGACCTATCGAACTGAATACTGGTTTACCCTCCTGAATAAAATTCCTGTGACGCATGAAGTTCAACCAAATGTTGATTATCAACAGTATCGGTAAAAAAATCACAGAAATAAAAAACATTTGGAAATTCTGTTTCGGAAACCAAGGTGAGGTATAGACACATACCTCAAATAGAGATGATAAGCAAGATTCTGCAGTTTATGTACCTCAAGTTTGAAGAGCTCTGAAGTTCAAAATGGGACACATAACAAAGGCTATGATGCTATTGCGCCTAGGCAGGGAAAAGGTTCACTCTTTTGCCATCAAATCAATAAATGTATGAATGTTTCAGAGCTGGCGAGCCGCTGGATGGACATTCCTTAGATGATGTATACAGAGCCAAAGAGTTGGTGGACTCAGCTTTCCATCCAGACACGGGGGAGAAGATGATTGTCATCGGAAGAATGTCTGCTCAAGTTCCCATGAACATGGTCATCACTGGCTGCATGGTCACCTTCTACAAGTAAGTCTTATAAATCTTATAAGGGGTTTGGGATATACTCACCTAGTTAATTTTGCTTTGGGACTTAGGCTGGAAGTGATAAAGGGGAGAGGTGGGGCTAAGAAAAAGGGCCCACTATTTTTTTGCAGGTTTAGTGCAATATCTTTCTACTATCAGTATGAGCCTTATTATGCGCGGTCAATCAAGTGGCTTGTCACCGTGACTGCCCAAAGGCCACTTTTAGCAGACCGTTATCATATGGGGCTTATTAAGTGACGCGACAGCGGTGGCGAGGCACGCGACAGTCACCGCAACTGGCCAGCCATGGAGCTGTGGACATGGAGCTGGCAGCCAGTCGCCCCCCCTTGCTCCTGGTGCTGAGCCCCAACAACAAATGCTAGCCTCTCCTTAGATGAAATACAATTATTCACATTCTTGTTGGTTACGGATAAGTCCACCGTCTATTTTTTATAAAAGTTCATCAAAAGAAGGTTTTGACATCCGGAAATATTAAAAAACCTTCTTGTCATCCTCCCTGAGATTATCATAAAATGTGGAAAATACTCCATTTCAAGGTCTTTTTGTAACGGATGCACTCCAATACTTTTGTTTCCCCTACATTTACGACGCTTAAGTAAAAGTAGAGGAAATATCTTATTCACTTGACGACTATATCATTAACACTGAGAAACTAAATACAAGTCTATTCAGTCAGACGCACAACCTCGCCACACTTGTCGCTACCCCTAACCACACCTGTGGCCCACCTCTGGCCACCTCAAGCGACTGAGAAGTCGCTGTCCTGAGCCACTCATAAGACTCTATCAGTTTAGGATTGGTTTATATTGGTTTTGAGGTTGTTTTTAAGATGTACCTAACTTTGTAGATCCACCCCAGCTGTGGTGTTCTGGCAGTGGGTGAACCAGTCTTTCAATGCTCTGGTTAACTACACAAATAGAAGTGGAAAATCTCCTTTATCTGTTGAGTAAGTATTGTGCATCATACAAAATTGATTGTTTTACCTTGGAGAGTTTCAGTTCAAGCAATAAGAGGAGGCAAAAGGTTTAATGTCTGGTCTTCCAACACATTTTAGAATTTGATTTTGGAAATCTTAGTATTGATATAGTATTTTTTAAATCATGCACTATGGTTAATGGTAGCAAATTAATTAACTATCGATTACAAATTCTTCACCACAGTGTATGAGTTTCTTTAATGGAATACATTATATCGACGTCTAACTAAATAATTAATATAGAAATTAGATGATTACTAGCACTCACATGAGATCTTCTCTCTTTTTGGCTCTTGGTTTGCAATAAAGTTGTATTTGTAAGCATGATTTTTAATGGATTAACTAAGTAAAGGGATATTTTTTTACATTTACATTTACTTAATTCCATGATTTATTTAGCTAATTAAGAAGGCATTGTACTAAGAGTAAAGTGAGAAAACTATAAATGATCAAAAATAAACAGCATATGTAGTATGGTTGTAGTTTGAGACTGTGCTCTAACAAAAAAGACTTATCATTAATGTAAAATCTATTGCCCCTATGTTGTACGGCGACTGACTGAAAGAGCTATATTCGTTTTTAGTGCATACTAGTTTCAATTTTCCTTTTTTCCTATAAAACGCTAGTTTTTGCAACGCCCGCGTGTAACTCTAAATCTGAACACAACCCTGCATTTACTGTAGAGTGTAGACGATAATGAAGCTGTAAACACTGAGCATATTATCTTTTATAACTGAGCAGTGAGTGATGCGGGTCATGTTGCTAGACAGCTGGGCAAGTCTTACGTGCTGGCTACTGGAGGAGCTCTAGCAACAGCGCTTTCCCTCAACAAACTGGCGCAGGTAAGCCAATCGTCTCGTACGCAAGGAGAAAATAATTTCACACTGGTTAAGATAAGTTTATCACCAATCAGCTGTCATTGGTCATAGGGTTTAATCCTTTCTCAAGAAACACCTGATCTCAGTCAGTAACAAAATTACACGAATCTCACTCATCCAAGCTACTTTCACCTTACATTCATGTGCAGATTAAAATACACACCCAAGTCGCTGGCTTAAAGAACTCGTAGTGCTTAACACTTGTATGCATCTTCTTTCAACAACCGCTTATTAGTTTGCATTTCTAGATACAATGTTTGGCACGGAACAAACATCAGTTGTAGTCTTACCGAAAAATACATTGCAACGATATATCGAGCCAGCGCGACTTTCAATTATGTGAGTTTTAATGGGCATATCGGACTGGTTGACACGGTTGTTATTTTAAAACAAAAATGATTTCATTTGATTTTTCATACGATTGAGGCATGATATATCGTTCCTTGGCATTTTTGGGATGAAAATTTATACTTTTACCGATTTTTATTCCTGCGCACTACGCTTTGCCGCCGCGACGAGCCTGACACTTTTTGCACATACCTAGTAAAAAACTTTGGCACTTTTCGGAAAGTACCAAAATAAATCTCTTGCACCCAAAGGGTGATGTGACAGAAATTAAAAGCTAAAGGTGATCAGTTATACCCTTTCAGTCTGATATTTCAACATAAGTCTACTGTACACTACAGTACAAACCTGCCTTGTTTCAATCAAAACTATTTTCAAATTTTGTTTGATTAGCAAATGTTTAGTTATTTTGTTGGTTTATCTGAAGTAAAAATTGAGTGAAGATATTAAAAATGTTACCAGACTCTCATTCTAATCTATTTCTTCCTTAGAGGGGGCCACCACTTATGGGAAGACTGGTTCCGTTTGCTGCTGTGGCGGCTGCCAACTGTATCAACATTCCTTTGATGCGCTACAGGTCAGTCGACATTAGATTTTGTACATTTTCAGTTAACTCTCTGGATTCAGCATTCGCTACATAGCTGTCAAAAGATCTTTTTTGAGAAAATATTTTTTTTTACTTGAATTATGAAAAAAGAAAAAACTAACCATACCAAAGTTATATACTGCAGTTGTATGTGAAAAAATTATTTTTGAAATTTTTACTGACCAGTGTTGATTCTTAGAAATAATAAGAAATGTTTGTTCTCTACTCTTCCTAAGAATACACAAATATTCAGCACTGGCATTGTATGCATGACTTAGGAATTAGGTTATACTTTCACAGATAATGTTCACCCTGAAGGAATTATTATGTTTGATTTATATACCAAATTATGATTTTATGCCCTTTGAATCTGATTTTATCAACTTCATAAACAAATTTCTCAACTGTCCATATTGCTTTCCTCTTAAACCAACAATACCTAAATGTAAATCATGCGACTATGACTTGAATCCAGAATCCTTCAAACAATATATTTTGTCTTAAACTATTGAGTCCAAACTGAGTGATATGATGCAATTGAGTCTGGTTTTGTATAACAGGGAAGTAGAGAACGGAGTACCAGTTTATGACGCCAACAACAATCATCTCGGAGACTCTCAGACAGCAGCTAAGATCGGCATCGCAGCAGTTGTATTCAGTCGCATCTTTATGGCTGCTCCTGGCATGGGTAAGGGCTAAAGAAATAGTCAAGATATTGTATTGGATGAGGAAATATTCACTCCGTTTGAAATTTGTATGATGATCAATATTTAGAAATCACTCCAACAAAGACAAGTTTAGTCTTTGAAACATATCCTAACTTAGATGTGCATTCAGACCACATTTAAGAAAGGAATTGAGGTCAATCAGGAAAACAAAATACTCCAGATGTGCGTTTGGTTTGTGGAGGCTTGAAACATAAATTGCAGAAATAGGTTCATGACTAGATTTTTCAATTTTTATTGGTAACTAGCTGGTTATAGTGTTTGCCATGAAATATGGACGTAGCTAATTTGATCCAAGCACCTAGATGTTATTTGTCATTAATAATGCTATCTAAGAAAGTTCTCATTACTGTAGATATTAATAATACCAGGGTGTAGACTCTACCTTAAAAACCGTCAACATCATAGAAAAAATTTAATTGGTCAGGTCGGGGAGGATTCCTTTGAAAACATTTAAACTGTCCTGCCGTTAGAGACATTGACTAGGACTTCTGGAATCATCCTGGATAATCAAATTAATAGTTTACGAGTATAAAATATTTTGCATAATAACACAAGATATTTCTGTAGTATTTACTCCGGTGGTGATGAATTCACTGGAGCGGAAGGGGTTGCTCCGTAAGATCCCATGGGCCAATGCTCCTCTTCAGCTCCTTCTGTGTGGATTCTTCCTAACATTCGCCACCCCAATGTGCTGTGCACTCTTCCCCCAAAAATCTCCCATTCAAGTTAGCAAACTTGAGAAACCATTACAGGTAAGAATATCAAGACACATAATAAGAATCTTTCCTTTAAAAAGTTTTAGGTAATTTCAATTCAGTTTGGTATCGTTACAGTAATTAGAAATACTGTAATGTGAAATATAAATTGTGTTACAGTCCGACATTAACAAATATCAATTGTGTTTAAGAAAAAATGTTTATATTTTCTCCTGTTTTAGGTTTTAGTAATTGATACCTTTGAAAAATGTGGTAGCGACTAAAATGCAGTTTTAGGAAATTGAAATCTACAAGAGTTGTACTCGTACTTAAATCAAATAGAGCTCCCGTCGTGGCCAAGTGAGGTAGCTCTAAACTGAGATCACCGTCATGTTGTTTACTTCATCCACTACCATTCTAGATTAATCCTATTAATGGTCTAATAGTCTAGTCAAAGCAGCCAAACAAAAAGTGAAGAAAAATCTAGCCTCCTAACAAGTCTTAATCATGTTCCATGATAATATTTCTGGTTAAAGGTGCCAACCACTATTGGAGTCCATTGCCAGTTGCCAGACGTGAATGAATAAAGTGTAAGAATGTTAAAAAGAGGTGGAGGGTCGTTAAAATTTGAATGATTTCTTGCACAGTGTAGGCCGGCTGTGGTCAATTATTAGTCTCGTTTGAGGCAGTAACCAAAATTAAGAGAATTTTGCATGCGGATCGCGGGGTGACTTTCCAAAGCGATAGGGGATCTCTATAAGACTAAGGACTAGGTAAACCCGAGTTGTTTTTAAACCTCCAACCAGCAAGCAATCATTCATAAACTTCAACCATTGTCTAAATGGAAACTGATTACACCCACAGCCAGCCTAATTGTGTAAATTTCTGCAAACTCCATAAGCCACTGAGGCGCATTACCTAAACACATCTTAGCTGAGAAGCATCTTAACACTTTTCTGTATACACACCTGTCAACTATAGGTCGGCCGCTTAGAAAACGACCTCCTCCAGCATTGGTTTAGCATTAGCGCGCAGGTCGTTTTCTAAGCGGCCGAACTATAGCAACTGATTTCAATTGTGGTTGACCCCATATTCCTCAGGAACCTAAAGCTAGAACTTGGCAGGAGCTCCTATTTTCCTTCACAACATTTACGGCTACTTTGACAAGACTATTCGTCCTATAGTAGTGGGATTCACCTAGAATGACAATGGATGAAGTCAAGAACACGCCAGTGATCTATGATTTAATCTAGCTTGCTTGGCCACGACAGTAGATACCTTTAGTTTACGGACAACCCTCATATATAATCAAACTGTTACAGAGCTTAAATTTTAAGTGGAATGATATTGAGTTAGCCTTGGATCTTGAACAACCCATTTTCTCCAGTGCCGAAGTTGTCTCTTTTTTAAAGAGTTACAACAATAACTTAAATAGTTTTGTGGTTTTCCAGGAAAAGGCCAAAGATCTGGATCCCCCTCCAACAGTAGCCTACTACAACAAAGGTTTATAAACTTCACTTTATAAGTGAAACAATACTAGACTTCTAGTCACATCAACATTTCTTGTAAACAGTTAGGCTATAATGATATTTGTTATTAATTTAATTGGTATTTTTTAACTTTTTTTCTACTTAATCATCACATAAAGTTAGGGTTTGCTTAGAAAATACTTGTTGTATTTTTTATGTAACAGTGTGGAACTTTTGTGTTAAAAATGGCCTTTATTGATATTATCTACTTAGTCTCAACTTTTTTGTTGTGGAAGTAAAATCATTCCAATCTAGAAGAAATGAGACACTAGACTTAAAGCACAAAGTACACAAAGTAATAGCCTAAATTCTTTTACTTCTATCTTGGACCTGGGACTTAATTAAGAGCCATAAGAAGCAGTCCATACTAATACAGAACATTCCAATACATTATCACATAAATGTGTGGGTAGCATAACATTTTTTTTTTAAACAGCTTACATGTGTAGAAAACTTGTATACAAATTTAAATATTTTAAAATCTTAAAAAAGAAGACTTCTGTAAAGAAACTAAAATGTTCTTTCCAACAAAAGATCTGTGTATCCTGTGATTATTTTTGAACAAAATAAAATTGTTTGAATTTGTGTTGTCGTTGGCATTCATTCCTTAATTAAGATAGTTTCTTCAATATTAAAATTCCTTGGTTTATATAATTAAATTTTACAAAATATGTTTTGTAAACATGGTATATTTCTTTACATATCACTTGTAAAAAAAATCTAAATTAATCACACACAGTATACTTATCACAGAAAAGAGTAATTTCCATACTTGTTCACAATTGGTCTGCTAAAAATTAGTTTCAATATCTTCAGGGTTGGTAATAAACACTGCAGTTTTTAAGTCAGTGGTAAATAAAATGAGTTTTAGAACTCATTTCCCATTCAGAGTCATTCATAAATTTATAACAGATTACCACCTTTCCACGTCTGTTATTTAAACATCAGTAGTGCCTACTATTTTGTAGATTAAACTCACATTAATAGCCTGAGACTTTTGAAAAATGTACTAAGATGTTAGCGGTCTAAACCTTTCCAAGGGAATGATGCGAACAGATCCTGACAAGTATTTCCAATGTCATTACAAAAACAACAGATCCTGACAAGAATTTTGAAAGTGATTGCCAAAACAGCGGATCCTGATAAGTCTTTCCAAAGTCAATAAACAAAATAATCCGAAAGTAATATAAAAATATAAGCATTCTGATAACTTACCAAGGTCATTAAAATACAACAAGATTAAGCAACGTTGACTTACAATAAATACAAAAATACAGTAATAGCAACCTGATACTTTCCAAATTCATAACCACATCAGATCATCTTTCTGAAGATACAACAAGGAGGATAACCAGACCAAAATGTCTCCTTTGAGTCCTTTAAAAGACAGTAGTAAAATGACTGAAGCCCTAAGCTCTCTGAAGTCATTTAGTCATTAGCAAAAGCTTTTCAGTCTAGCCAAGGGTATTACCAAAATGAAAGCAACCTAATGTTCTTTCCAACTGCAATTGCAGTCTTTGTTATCAAAGGTTCTATTATGTGGAAAGCAGGACAATTCGCCTCTGCGACTAAATGCTCGAACATCCTCATCTTCTGCTTCACATTCCAAACCTCAAAGATCATCTTGTTGCTGGACAGGTAAGGACGAGCACTGATCGCGACAAAGTACGGAGGTATTGTGATCACTTTGTATACAGAGTAGAAGTACAACAGAAGGCTGTCCAAGTGGTTGTTTATGTTTATGATTTTGACACTTTCCCTGCTCGGCTGGACCAAGTAAGGATCCATCATCTGATACTGAAGGCCAGAATTGGGACCGAAGAACATCCTTGTGTTGGTATCCAAGATATTGAGCAGATTTCCGGAGTGAGTGCTGTAGATGTGAAGCTGATGAAGGAGATGGGATGTAGCTACAAGGCCTCCAGATATTGCACACCAGTCCACTTTGCCTGATATGGTCATGTTGAAATTCGTAAAGACTTTTGACCTCAAGCTGTAAATTACAAGCTTGGTTATATATTTGTCGTACAAATATATAGAACACAATAACATTTTAGAATTAGTATCTGAAGTAAGGTAAGCGCTGCAAGAACGAGTTTTTAACTTGTTTTGCAACGCGCTACAGATATTTTCTTGAGCATATTTCGTCTCAAAATTCATATTCCAAATGTGTAAGAAATTCTCTTTCATATCTTCAACATAAGAACAATACCCTATGAGCAAATGGTCGGCGGAAAATAAAAAATGGCCTTTTGAAAATGTTGAGCGAAGCCTGTCTCGAACAGCAATGAAGTCATCGTCATTAGCGAGATCTACATAAAGAGATTCTGAATCTGTATAAAAAAACTTACTACTTGGGGCAAAACCTGTTAATGGTAGTTTGAGGTGAAAGACTTGCACTAAGTAATAAAAGTCGACTATGATAAGTTTTCCCCCGACTATATCCAGGTAGCTTGGGGCTGCTGTGATATTTCCAACAGTCGCGTGAAGTTGAGGTTCGGCCTCCACGTTCCAAATTTCAGTTCTATCTCCGAGGTTGACTAACAGCCAGTGAGTACCACTCTGGTCCATTTTTAACGTACAGTTTACCACAGGTGATGGAAACTTCATATTCTGCACCGTAGTTCGTCCTTTACTCCAGTTGCGGAAGAGGAACGCTCGTCGCATCAGGTGTATCCTCCATGGACAAAGAGGTTCTAGGGAGCCGACACTGAAGGGCTCTGTAAACCTAGGCTTCACAAGGTTGGTAGTGCGCTGAAGATATCCCGCCACGAGAGGGTCACAGTGCCTGCGCCAGAAGAGGTCTAGGTTGAAAGCCTCGCGCCAGCGGATGCTGACAGCTGAGCAGGCAGACAGGTCCTGCACTGACAGGTAATTGGCCAGGACCTCCAACACCTCCAGCGGAAACTGGGACAAGTCCATGGTCGGCTGCATTTCTGATACCTGCAAGATATGGTTTGACATTACTTTGATTGGAAAAATTGTTGTAATGTATGCCAAATGGTTATATCTACCACGAGACTAAATTAAAGAAATAATGAAAAAATATTAGAAAAGTCTGAAAAAGTCCTTTGGTTACCTTATATGAAAATTATAATATTTACTACAGAAACAGAATTAAAATTTCTCTAACAGTGGATGGGTTTATATCTTTAACTAACGATTATTGACATAGAAAAGCTAAATTGGCTATTTGTATGGATAAAAATAGTACGCAATAACATTGACAACATTGTTTATGGATTCACAGGCAGTTTTTAAACGTTTAGAGAACCATTTTAGAGTGAAATGTCTCTCTGATATGGATTTAGAATTTAAAAGTTTATATAAAATCACTCTAAAATGGTTCTCTAAACGTTTAAAAACTGCCTGTGAATCCATAAGCAATGTTGTCAATGTTATTGCGTACTATTTTTATCCATACAAATAGCCAATTTAGCTTTTCTATGTCAATAATCGTTAGTTAAAGATATAAACCCATCCACTGTCAGAGAAATTTTAATTCTGTTTCTGTAGTAAATATTATAATTTTCATATAAGGTAACCAAAGGACTTTTTCAGACTTTTCTAATATTATATAACTACATATTCGTGGTTAAAATAAATCCATAACTGCACCTTCTACTATTGGAGAATTTAGTGAATGTGTATCTCAAAAATATGGATGAATGAAATACAATGTTTTTGTAATTAACAGGAATAAATAAAAATGTGTCGATTGCAACTTAAAGTTTTGCGCTTATTCCAAATTATTTTCTGCTTTTCTGACATACTTAACTTATTGGAATTTGTGTTTGTAGGCAATTTGTTATTACTGATGTACCTAGGTTATATCATTTCCAAAGTGACATAGCGGAAATTATGCAGAGGTGAATAACACGGTACTCTCCTATATTACTAATATTATAATGTCGGAGTGTTATAAGAATCAGGGGATTGGTCCATTTAGTTCATGGTTCATATAAACTCTTAATTATTCTGTTATGTCATAATTCCAGTCAAAAATTCAACATTGCTAAATGGTTGACAACAAATTATAACACGTTTCTACCAAAAGTAAATATAGTGAACTGTAAGTAAGCATACTTTAGGCCATGATTTCCATGCTATTCAACTTGTAAATATAATCTTATAAATACAGATAAATGAATAACTGAATAAGTAACTTACTTGAAGTGTTTCAAGAGTCAAGTATAGGCATCAATCAATCATTGTAAAGATGACAAACACGGATAACAATTTTGAAAACTGTTCTAATCCGAACAAATCACAATAAAGCTTGTTGAATTCAACATTTTCACTAGTCAAGAGTATTGTACTTGTTCTAAAGACAATACAAAACAGAACATTGACATAGAAGCTGGTGGTACTATTTTTACCAGAGTGGAGCTAGATGCCAAGCAATTCGGCACTTCTACGCAATCACATCACATTAGCCAATTACAGTGCCAAATATCAATGGATTTATTGCATAATGTTGTACGCTGACTTAAGAGACAGTTGTAAACAGAAATATTTACTAATGTGTGATGAAAATTTATAAAATATTTACAATTAACATATAAAATTAATACACATAAAAATAAAAATGTTTAAACATGTTTTTACGTTTCAAATATTTTCAGTTTCACTCACTGAATAAAATCTGTTTGATATTAGTAAAGTATAAAGAATTTATATAAGTTGGTTTATTTAATGAAATGGATCACTAAACAAGTTTACAGTCCTAAAAATAAATTATAAAAGATAATCCTTTAAACAATTAACTGTTCAATTTGATGATTCTTTTTTCCATTTTCATCTCATTACTTTTCACTACAACCTAAATATATAGAATACAGATCACTGATTCATTATTGTACAATTATTTTTGATTTAAAATACAAACCGGTCAAAGTCAAAATTGTATTAATGTAAAAATGTAATAAAGTATTAACATTTTACTTTGTGCCAAGCGTTATAAATAATTTTCAATAAAATGTAGACCTGTTGACTTGCAGTTTTTCTTAAAAAAATAAATTTTTTAGTCAAATTTATATTAATTTTTACTAGATAAACCACAAAAATGCTGACACAGTTCACACCTCAAAGTTCAAATTCAGTTATATACATATAATTAGTTCAATACAGTGTTGTTATAAAAGATGAAAATTAAAATATTAAAATACTAATGTGAATAATTGTCAAACTAAACTAGTCAATGTTATCGGTTCGGATATCCATGTTAAATATAATGACAAGGAATTAATAAAAATAATTCAAACAACATTTTACAAACAATTAATTTAATCACAGCATTAATTCTATCAACAAAAGCATACAAATTAAATTCATCTGTAACAATCTTAAAAGCCTACAATAGAATACAAATTCTAACAACTGTACAACCACTCAAACAATATAATTAAAAAATTAGTAACATTGATTATTGCTTTATAGTTAAAAGATTTATAGAGTAAAAACAATGTTAATAAAATATTTTTAAACAATAACATTAAATACCTAAAATATTGACATTGTAAATAATATATCTTTATAATATCGATACAAATTTTGATTAAATATCTTATGGCACATTTTGTATTCAAGACTTTTAAGACAATCTGATAACAATATAAAAGTCAAATTTATTAAAGTACGTTATACGTTGGTACAGTATAATTTGTATTTGAAACTCAAAAAATTAAATGACTTTTGGTAGTTTCCTAAATAATATTTTTTTTTTATGGATAAAGAAATAGTATATAATATACTCAAATTGTATTTGTTATACTCAAATTTATTTGTCTTTCTTTATCAAAAATAGTTTATCACAACAAACATTTGATAGGTAACCTTGAACTAAACCATCTAAAGAATAAATTCTTCCAGTTTCTTTTTTCAAAACTGTACTATCCTAGGAAAATTTGCAACAAAGACTATTCTACTATGAGTATAAAATCGATTTTATTCTCAACTGTACGGTAGTGTACAAAAAATTATGCAACAGATTTTTTTTATGAGTTTAGATTCATACTCTCCATTTTATAGTACAAAAAATATCAAATAGTTTCAAAAATCTTTTTTTAAAGTTTATGTTGTTTACTACAGTTGGTTTCATAGTTTTATTTATATGAGTAAAGACAATATTTATTGTAAAGTTAAATGAAATAGAATCAACAAAATTTGTTTCCAAAGCTAAAGAAATTTTCATACTTAACACACTGCAAAACTTCTCTCTATGGACCCATCATAAGAATCCTTGTTATTGCATGAACATAATAAAACTAGTGTTTAGTTTGGTATTATAGTACATTTGAGTATTTTTAGCAACTATTTAACAAAGGTAGTTTTAAAAAGTGCATCACTGAGGTAACAACCATTATGACTATGAGTAATATAACCATCAATATAAAAGTCATTCAGTGTGGTAAAAATATTTTCTCACTTAAATTATTGTGTAAGATAAACCAAGTTACAGTATCACTTAATATTCGGTTACTGATGAATTAGGATGATTTAGCTTCTTTTAAATGTTAATTTAGTTATTATTAAACTTTTAAAATGTACAATGCTAGAAGTATAAAGTATACTTAAATTTGTAGTTAAAACTAAAAAATTATTATGTGTGCTAAATTAACAATGCAGTAAAGTAAAAACATATTTGGTGTTGGCACAAGTGTTTTTGGTGTCCTTCCATTACCTTGAACAGTGATCTTCAATTCTACATATTAATATGTAGTTTTGTTTGCAGTTTATTTCTTTGCAAACTGTTTGTTTTTCAGAATTCTAACATTATTATCTTTATTATGAATAAGTTGAAATCTACTAAAAACTATGTGCTACTTTTAAAATGTAATAGAGAGCACATTAAAGTTAATCGGTTGAACTTTTGCTTAAAGTTGTTTGGGCATATGAATACCAAATTAATTCAATACTTGGTCAGCAATATTGTATGTTACATTTTTTTAGGAAGTATTTAATACTATTCACAGAACATTCATTAATGAGACAATCTTAAAAACGAGTCATCATATTTTAATGAAATTTTTGGAATATAACATGGTTTGTCCCAATATTTACAAATTTTAGTATTACCACTACAAATGCTTCAACTTAAAAAAAACTAACTATATTTGGATTTAACCAATCTAAAATTTGTAACATTATATTAAAACACAATATAGGCTACATAAGGCACTAATTTTGTAGCAGTACATATTATGCTAATAATTCATGAAAATGTGAGCAAAAATATAAGGCCACTTTGATCAAATAGTAATAATGAGAAATTTACAGAAACAACATTGCTATGTGCCTACCATAAAGGAGGAAAAATATAGCTGGAAAATGGTTTGTGCATTCATTATATATATTAGTCTTATTAATTTTTAATTTAAAATAACCTGTTAATACAAATAACATAAAATATATTAAAAACAAACAATACAATAATTCATTTTAACACTGTACAAAACTTAAAACAACACATAAATCTAACTATATACATCAAACATTTGTAAAAGATTTTCCTGTATTTATTAGCACCCTGTTTCACAAAACAAAACAAAAATCCTTAATGAATAATAGAGGAGTTATTAAATATATGTTTCTTCATTCCTAAAATATTTAGCTCATAATTTAAACTAAGTTTAGCTAAGGAAAAAGTAATTTTACAGAAAAGGTTTGACAATTCAATGAATGTATCAATAAAGCTTCCTTAGATGATTTGTAGGAAATAATGTTTTCCTACAGTTGAGTTACCTAACAATGTACATGTTCTCTCACTGATTTGAGAAAGCAAAGTGGCCAATTCGCTCATCAATGAGACAATGTTAACATTGTCTCACTCTAAATTACTTTGTCTTTCACGCACTCCAGATTTGCAACGTGAAGGCACGAAATAGTGAGCGCGTAACATGCAGACAAGGTCTTATGCGCGCGAAATACGTTGGCATCACTGGCTGTAAATCAGCTGGTCAGCTGGTTGTACTGTTGTATCATTAAATGTAATATTAACAGTTCACTTCTGTGTAAAAAATACGTCACGTTTCTTTACCAATTTATTTGTTTTATGGTAACTGTAGGAAAAATATAATGTGCAACTCGAGTGCAAAGTGCAATTGCCTCACTCGAGAAATTATTCCTCACTCGCCTACGGCTCGTGAGTAAGTATTTCTCCCTTTGCTCACTAGTTGCACAAATAACTATTTTTATGCGTTGATAATTTTAAGAAACCTTTGATTATACTTTTTCATACCTGTATTTTGACACTATTTATGTATGTTATATGCTACTTATAAATAAAGATTATTTGAATTTGAACTCAAAAAGACGAATAGTTAAGCTAACCTTAAGGACTAAGGTATTTGTAAATAACAACAAATTGTTAATGAGCAAGAAGATATGAAACATAAAATTGTTGATTGTTTCTTAGGAGGTTAACGGCTTTTAACTTTCATTTGCCCGTCCACATGAGCCTTAGGATGTGTGTGGAACATAAGCAAAGCAAGGACTTAGTAAAAGAATGAAACATATCGATAATTGATAGATATTAGTGAAGACATCGGGACTAGAGGTCAAACCACATAGTCTCTGACAGGAGTTCAATAGTCAGTTGCACTACCAAATGAGTCATTTACTTGCTTACACGTCTTCAAGTACACTTGTCTTATAAAACATTCTGATCTTTCTCAAGGCACATTCAAAGGCTAAGCAAAAGTGTATTATAAGTCATTACTACCTTGTTTTCCATCAAATACTGTACCTGCCAATTAAATACCTTTCAAAAAGAAGCTTAAAGACTAAAGATTAAAGTTTATGTTTCATATTATATAACATTATCTTAAAATCTGCTAACAACATTTTGTGTGTGTGTTCAAAATGCAAAACAGCAAGAAAATATGTATTGCTATTGGATTCTTAAACTTGTATGATACTTCAATTGTATTTGCTGAGCACTTGGTATTGCTAGGTTGAAAAATTCAAGAAATTTGTAGTTTGTAGTTGCCAAGATGTGTTCAGAGTTGGCAATCCGTTCTTGGCCAATAAGTAAAAAACAAAACAAAAAAAATGGACTAACGTCAACACTTGATAATCTAACACTTGAGAGCCTGCACACTTGATAATCCTGACAAGTAAGTCCTCGTCCAATATCAGTACAATACTGGTATTTTGTTATAGTTGTGATAAGAGTCTGGTGTTTTTTAGCAGTGGTGTCCACTGTGTACGCCAAATATTACTGTGATTTGTTTTTTGTTAGTTTGTTTGTCAATTTAAAAGTGTATTTGACTTTCCATAATTTAAACTTACATAATACAGATAAAGCTAAATTAAATTTTGAAAATTGTGGCTTATACGAATGTCTAGCCAGTGCCATTATTACTTGAAGAATTACAGGAAGAAAAATACCTAAACGCTTTTAGGGTTTAAACCCATATTTGTTGTGGGTGTGCTGGAAATTGAGCCCATCTTAATAAATTAATATTCAGACCTTCAAGATATAGCTTTGTGCGAGTTTCTAAGCTTAGTCACAGAGAAGTAAGATATAGAGAATACAAGCTTTTGGATGCACCTATAGCTCTGGTATGGTGGGGCGGAAATGTACTTGTATCGAACGATGAAGTGTTCTGGCTAAGGTTTGCTCAGCTTAGCTTATTTATTAAATATTTATCTATTTACCCAGTTATTCATGAAACTAATTTACCAACCCTTATATTTGCACGCCAGTATATAGTCTAAGTTGGAAATTGTTATTGTGTACCCATTGAGGGACAAATCAATTAAGACTGATGATGATAAGTTTTCTAAATTAAATTATAAGTTGAATTTAGTATTATTTTTGTAAATCTGTAGTCTTTAATATCAGACACCCTTTTGGTCCTGTAAGTGTTGGATTATCAATAATCAACTGTATAATTATAATATCTACCTGGTTTTACATAAATGTAAAGCCTTACTTGAAATTTCACTCTGTGACAGATCAATCGATTCATTTCAATGATAAAATTTGTCTGAACTATCTTCTAAAAGATACAAATACAATTACGGTTACTAAACTCAAAAAAGAGTTAAAACAAAACATAAAATAACAAAAACACAAGATCAATCCTACAAAGGATTATACAGAAACTGGTTTTGACTTTCATAGAAATTACAATAATATCTACTTATCAACGTATACAAGGCTCAGAGCCTGTTATGGTTGGAGTCTACTGTCGGGGGCGGATGTTGAGTGACTCCGGGACGATGGTCCTTCCTCCACTTGACAATGGCCTTCCACACCCTCAGCTCCACACCACCCCTGTAACATAGGAACTGTAGCAAGGGAAGGCTAAAGAGTCTCCTCCTTGAGGAAAAATTATGTAGGAAAAGTACTTAAAAACATACTAAACAGAAACAAAAAATTTAAAAAGCAATAAAATTATGACATGTAGTTGTGAAAGGAAAAAATAAAAAACCAGGAGAAATGTTGGTATAAAAACAACAGTATAAAGTCAGACAAAAAGGTGCAGTAACAATAACAAATAAATAAAAACTAAAAAAAACTAAACTTTAAATTTAAGTTTTGAAACTTTTCATGAAAATATGTTCTAGATCTTTGTTTGGGTGCGATTGCGTTTGATTTAAGATTTGCTCGGGACAGGAGTTGTTCGAACTATCAGTGATTTGACCGTGATCTAGAGTGACGATGTCTCCGATATCCCGATAGATGTACATTATACAAGACTTTGCCGCTATGGCGGATGACAATGATGATGTCCCTGTGATTGAGGGAGATATAACAATAGTGATGTGCTCATAGATTACAATCATGGTGACTGAGAACAGTGCAATAAAGACTGAAAATAGTGAGATTTGACTGAAAGAGCTATTTTCAGTAACATTTAAATTTCAAACCACTTAACACATTTGATGGAGTTGTGTGATGGCCATGGATGAGAGCGCAAAAATATTTAAATTTAGTTTCATCCAATAGGAGATGTGCAGTATGGGATGTACTGCCTTCCAGTATTTGTGACATAGTTCTCCAAGAAGCCAACAGATAGCAGCACTAAACAAAATTACCAACAGACCTTCAGAATTTCCAAATGCAGGGGAAAAAGCAAGTACCCGGAAAATTAGAACAAAAAATACCAGAAAAATTACGCAAAGCGAAAACTGAAACTGCACAAGTTTGAGATTGGATTCCTTTCACAATGCTACATTACACTGAATATTTCCAGGGCAATACTATCTAACTAATGACACAAAAAAAAAATTAAATCATGCAACTTAAGGTACTTACTTTCGGCCAAATGAACACAACATGCACACAAAAAAAAATTTATGGAAAAATTATTTTAATAGTTCAGCCTAGAATGTAATACAAATGGCACAGACTGTACACAAATTCTCAACATATAAATACTTCCAACTCACCTAAGCCCCAACTTTCGGATGTCTTCTCTATTGACGTAATGAAGAACATCATCCAAACAATACTCTTCCGTTAAAAACTGCAACAAAAAATTCATTAGTCACACTTGACATACTAATATTATGTTTGTTTGTTTGGAGTTCAATAATGCATTAACCACTGGACGGATTGGGCTGAAATTTTGGCATGATGATAGCTCACATTCCCGAGGACCATTTCTTATCTCAAAGATTCTTTCGGGTTCCGCCCCAGTGGCTCTGTAGTTCCCTATTTAACCTTATGTATGAGTATTCAAATTTAAAAGGAATTAAAACATTTAGTCTGCTTTTTTTAACTATTTAAGTTGGTAGGTTCTATGATATGCAATAGCATTAAAAAGTCATAAGGTTCACCGACAGGGAGCAGCACTATTATTATTTTTTGCATTTATGACAACAGCTAATTTGAACCAACCAGCGACAAAAAACTGTGATATGCAATGAGAACTGTCAAAGTAGGATTGTTTACAGTTATGTATATGTTTTTAATTAAATGAATAATTTGTGATATTGTGCTTAAATGTTTGATCATTTATTTTTTCCTATAGATAGGTGCAGTGGAAGAACATTATGGCTATGATAGATGTGTTATACTATACCATACCAAAAAATTTAAAGGGCCAAATTTTACCAAACTATGTCCTTCCCCATTGCAAACGCAAAGCTTGAGTATAACTGCAATAAGCATTTTATATATGCCAACCCCGTACGAAGGATGTGTACTTTGCTAGTTAAAAATAACTAATTGGTAGTGAAAATCAATTTTTGTCAGAAGGTTCTATACCATATTTTATAATAATGGTACATGGATTCTACATCTGTTCCATTGTGTGAGTTTTTTACGTTAAACCTTTTATAGATTATAGAGTTTTGTGATTTGTTATTATTTGCATGTTGTATCATGACTTGACATATTTTTGGACTACTACCCTCTGTAGTGTATTCCAACTTAGGTTGGGCGTTTGTGTATTGTTAGTTGTAATGTGTTAGTTAAGTTTTTTTCACCTGAGGACGGGATCAGATTCCAGATCCCGAAACATTGTGTATTGTTTTTTACATTCGTGATGGAAAATGTCCGCAATAAACCTTTGAACAACATTAACTCACCATCACCAACAATGAACTTCAAACAAAGAGTACTCTGTAAGGTCGCCATTTCAATAAAAAGTATTAAAGTATGACATTAAGACGATTTGATTTGATTTGAAATGTTTATATTTTGATCAAATTTGACAAATTTATTTATTACATACTAAGCTATTATGTATTATTATTGATAGCTATCAAGACTCCTATCATCTGATACAAAAATAAGAATATATAAAACCATTATTCAACCAGTATTATTGTATGGAAGCGAGACCTGGGTCCTATCCAAGAGAAATGAAGGACGCTTGATTGTTTTTGAAAACAAGGTCCTAAGAAAAATATTCGGCCCAGTAAACGAAGAAGGAGAATGGCGGATTAGAAAAAACAGAGAGCTACGAGCGTTATACCAGGACCCTGATATAATAGCTTTGATAAAGGCAAAAAGATTAGGTTGGCTAGGTCATGTATTGCGAAGGGAAGAAGGAACAAGACTGAAGGAAGTATGTTCTGCTGTACCAACTGGAAAGCGTCCACTGGGTAGACCAAAAATGAGATGGTATGACCAAGTTAAGAGAGATGTGAGTCAGTGTGGAGGGACAGTGGAGATGGCAGCGGACAGAGAAGCGTGGAAGAGGCTGATCTACGAGGCGAAGAATCGACTGCGATTTGTAGCGCCCCAGCAGTAAGTAAGTAAGTAAGCTATTATATTTCAATAAAAAAACTTTTTTACCTTCCCTATAGTAGCAATCCTAATTACTCATGCAAAAGTTGTTATTTAAATAGGAAATAAATCCAACAATAAGGGAATATATTTTGTGAAAATCCAACCAGATTTATGTAAATTCGCTTATTATGCAAGTTTGCTGCAGTGGGGATATTTTAAAAATGTGTACCAGTTTGATAATATGACGACCTTTACATGAAGCGATGTTTTTGTCCTTGTAATGCCTGATGGTGGTTCTATTGTGAGCTGAAACTAGTTGTCTACTACAACCATTTGAGATTACTAAAAAAAGATGTATTTAACACGTTCGCTGCTGACGACTCCAATCGGAATCATGCCTAACTGGCACAGCGTGCGTACGACTCCGGTTAGTCACGGTGCAGTGTTATACAAGTTTTTCTACTGTGACCTCAGCATTTATCGGGGATCAACCAAACTATGACAGCATGTTGTGCTGGTCCTATACTTTAATTCTTGGTGTAGTTTGGGTTAAGGTTGGTAGTAAAATTTCCCGTAAAATCCCTTCTGGCAACGCTTTTTGTCCCGTTTTCAGTGATTTTCTCTCTTTGAGCCACATTACAAAGACACTGGTTACGGATCCAGGCAGTGCTGCTATCTGTGAGTTTTTCAATGAACTAGGTCCACTTTCGGAGTAACATAGCACCATCACCGCCGCTGTTTTGCTGCTGTCAAGACGGAACTATTTTAATGCCTATTGCGTTTGCTGATTCACTGGCGCGCCAAGGCTGCGTCGCATTTCCGACCGTACTGCCAAAGGGATTCTCGCAGCAAACGTGTTTAGCCCCTTGTAGTGTATAGTGAAAGAACCATTAGAAGTTTGAGTGTGAGCTTACTTTGCTGATAGACGTGTTGTCCAATCGCAAGGCCAGCAGCCAGTCTACCAGCCGCTGGTCCACAGAGCTATCCGTGATGCTGATCCTAGGAGTCATGGGGTTGTGGTTGCTCGTCTCACTCTCCGGTGACGTGGTCACATCACTCTCACTGCAACATGGAAACCACTCAATCAACGTCAATCGTATGGTTTCACTATAGAAATTGCTTATTTAACTGATGTTTTTGGGTCTGATCAGGCCAAAGGTTAGTCAAAACTGGGAAAAATCTTTAGGAAATCAGTTTGGATCCAAAATAATTTTTGGCCCAAGTTTCAGCTTACTAGAGGTAGGCGAGCGGCATGATTTTGTTGCGTTTGCAAGAGACGATGATGAGATCTTTGCGATGACAGATAATGCTCATGATTTTACTACAATCACAGGAGTCATTCACAATTTTGCAGGCATTGCATTTTGCCCTGAAAGTAGGAAAAGTTCAAGATTTCAGCCCCACTTCAAGGAACAATGACAATTTCACAGCAACTGGTTCATAAGAGTGGATAATGATTCAGGGTTGGTAAAGACAGTACTAGCAAAGTATTTGCTTAAGGAAAAATCCACTATACAATTTTTTTAAAGTTTTATTTAATACAAAATTGTAAGTGACTCACCTGAAATCCCTGCCATTACTCTGACTGAGATGATTGACTACAGATGACACAAGGCCCATCTGGTCTACCAACTGTCTCAGTGCTGCCAACTGTAGTCTGTGGTCCTCCAGGGCTTGTCTCAGCAGGCTCTGGTACACTCTCTGTCCTTCCAACAACTCCTGCATCAGTCTGTACAATATTGGATCATTATGTGACTGAGATGATTGACTACAGATGACACAAGGCCCATCTGGTCTACCAACTGTCTCAGTGCTGCCAACTGTAGTCTGTGGTCCTCCAGGGCTTGTCTCAGCAGACTCTGGTACACTCTCTGTCCTTCCAACAACTCCTGCATCAGTCTGTACAATATTAGATCATTATGTCACTAAGATGATTGACTACAGAAGACACAAGGCCCATCTGATCTCAGCCTATTTTATCTGGGAAGTAAGGAGAGGTAAAAAAATACAAAATCAAAATTATGAAAATAAAATTGAGTAGTGGATAAATAATATAAAATCCACGGACTGATTGAGCTTGCACAAGGGCCCCGAGTTGAAAAATGCATATTGTCCTCTGGACAACCAGTTCCACGGTTGGATCGCACATTGTATGGAAAATCAAATGTTTTCATTGCCTACACACCTGTGGTTCTCAGATCTGAGTCCGTTGATCTGTTCTCTCCACTCAGTCCTCATCTTGATGCTGCTGGGGAAGCTGTCTATACTTGTGTTCTTGGACTTGACGGAGTTGACTGTAGAGGGGACAGAGGGGGGTCCATCTCCTCCACCTCCTCTCCCACCATCCTTCACATCTTGACCAAGCAGGTTCGCTCCCAGCTCTGAAAACATCACTGATTAGCCTGGGGTTATGAAACTATCCTAAAGCGTTGCGTTATCGTCAAGTTCCAGTGGGATGAAAACCTACTGTGGCTATTTTAGAACAATGTTCTCTCCAGCCTAATTATCCTAGAGCTTTTTGTGGGTGGAGATAATCTTGAGGGCATATCCTCTTCTTAGATACCAATCCTGAATATTTTCTAGTAAATTTACAGCTTAGTGTGCTCCCAACCAGCTTAATGCATACCATTTGCTTTTGTAGATTACGAGGATTTTAGAGCTGGCATTTAGAACAGCAGTCTTGCATCTCTAACAACTAAACAGTCTGCTGATTATTTGAAGAAATTAGGGACGCAACAGAGCGTTTTGAAGACGAGCGCCTATCACTCAGTTACCCAGACAAATTACATTTAAAATATTATCTATTTCAAGCAATTCTAGTGTCAACGGTCTAAAAGAACTTGCGTAACTTCCAACACCTCCACAAAGAATTGAAATAATATATTTACCTGGAGACAAGATGGTAATTGCCGCCTGGACAGAGTTCCTGACGAGATTGTCTAAAGCAAACATCCAATGAGGCTTGATGCTGTGAGATCTGAGAACCACCGTAACCTGCAGCACAGTAAGACTTCATGTCAAAACAGTCAAAATACATTACTGCATTCAATAGTAATCGAGAAAATGTATTTGCTTACAAAATAGAATCCATAGTGTAAATTTTTTAATGGGCCAAACTATGATTTTTTTTTAACATTAAAGTATTACTAAAATATTATGTGAGCAATACAATAAGTGTCTAATCATTGTCATTCATTTGTCATGTAATTTTTAACGACAAAAATTATGTCTACATTTTTGTCAGGGTTAGAGCAAGCAGTAATACAGGGTGACACAAAGGAACCGGGCGTTTTTTAAACAGCTGTTCCATTGTTGTTGCACGTGGTAGGAAGATTGAAGTTATGTCATTACCTTCAGTGAGGCTTGCCATTTTTGTTGAAATGGCTCAGTTGACCGTAGACCATCGCGTTTTCGCATACAATACTTTAGTCCGAAATGGTGAATCCGTCGTCAAATCCAGCGGGAATTTAGTCGACATTTTAATATTGAACGCCATGGAACGGTTCCAAGCCGAAATACGCTATTAAGATGGGTTTCAGGGTTCCGAAAAACTGGGAATATAACAAGAAAGCAACCACCAGGCTTTGTTAGAACTTCGAGAACACCCGAAAACATCGCCAGAGTGAGAGCAGTATTGAATGAATGTTTCCTACAAGGTGATTTCTCGCTTTGGTGACATGCCGTGGCCGCCAAGATCATCTGGCTTGTCCACTAGTGATTATATCCTTTGGGGGTTTCTTAAGGAGCGTGTTCATGCTCACAAACCACGCACTCTAGAGGATTTGAAGTTTGCAATCACAGAAGATATCAATGGCATTGAACCTCCTGACCCCGAGTTTCAGAGGATTTTCAGACTAGAATGAACATTTGTAGATAAGTACATGGCCGCCGTATGCATGACGTCATTTTCAAAAAATGACGGTTTTGTAACAAATGGCAAATGTTTACCTCACTATGTACAGTATTAAAACCAGTTTATTCCTTTTAACTACTGTGTACTACTTATTTAAAAAACGTCCGGTTCCTTTGTGTCACCCTGTATAAGGTTGAAATGAGTAAAGTTGGCCAAACAAGTTGGTGTTGGTACTGTAATTTAAATCAATATACATTATGTTCAGTATTCCTCTTTGCAGGATTACGCTACATATTTACCCTTATGGTAATGTAAAAAAATATAATCTGTACTTGAAATTGATTGGAATGGAGGGATTGTTGTTAAGAGACTTTTTGGGAGATTTAAAGGATGATTCAATTGGGGACCAAACAAATTTGGTGTTTTTGAATCCAAATACGAGTGAAGAACTGAGCAAGATGCTTTGTTATAGACAAACAACAGACTAAGACAGATTGTTTTGTTATTAAGGTTAAAGGCCTACTTACCGCACTCTGGAACAAATAGATGGCCATGTGCAGTTGGTTGATGGCCACTGAGTCAAACTCAAAGTCCTCCTTGATTGTGTGGATGGCCGTCTCCAGTGGATCTTTGTTCTGATTGGCAATGTACTCTCTCAAACCCTTCATCAGGGTCTCTAGGTGGTTCTGCCATAACAAATCAAACAATCAGAATAAACAAACATAAACAGACACTGGGTAGGGAAGCTTTGTGCGAAAATCCATAAATATTCTAAGAGTTTTTATATTTTTTTATATTTCAACATTCAAGTAATAATAGTTTGTAAATACAGATAAATCCTCCAGTTTGCAAATGATCCCCTTTCACCCTACCTTTAAGGCACCCATTTTTATGTGGAATTTTCTCCTCTAATCATTGACTTTAGTAGACTGAAGTAGACCATCCCATCTAGGTCCATCTTTCTGTTCCCAAATTTTTATTTAAAACACAGTTCAATGAGCCACTCCCAAATTGTATTACACCACATTCAAAAATTACATTTTCTGCCTTCATGTTACCGAGCATGGCGTAACATAAATATACTAAAGCTTACAATAAGTTGCCCTTCAGTTTGACTTGGTTATAAAGTTGGCGAATTTGAAAAAAATCCATAATTCATACACACACTGTAGGCTTAATTCAGCTAGGTACATTTTTATTTAAAACTGGTGACAACTTAAATATGAGTATGGAATGACTAGTTCTATTGATAGCCAAAGCTACAAGTCAGCTGTGTGTTGAAATTTTTACTACTCTAATACTCACCATTTTGAGAGCGTTGTCGCCCATGTCCGACTGTATAGCCTTCAGCCACACCTCGCAGATGTTGGCCTGGTCCTGACTAAGAACCCGCGACAGAGTCATCCTCCGCTGGGAATCTTTCTTGAGCATGTAGAAGCCGTCGTGCTCCGTGGGCAACCCGACCACCTCCGGCGACAACAGACCTCCACTGGAACTGCGTCTTGTCAAACTACCCTCCTCTGTACTGTAATAGGACAACATGGAAGGAAAGTTAATTTATAATTTGAAAATCAAGAACCATCTATTAACCTTTTAATGCTAAACTTAATTTCCGTTATAAGAATTTTCGTAAAGACAGCAAAAAGCCATAGGGTGGACAGATGCTTGAAATTTTTGACGAGATTTTCTTTTATAATGTAAATGCCCTGCCAAGAAAACATTAAAATTTTCTGTAACTGCTAGGTATACAACAGCATTTCAAAATAATTAATTATTTCTTTTTTAGGTCCTAAAAAATAGTTTGGAAAGAAATTGTATTTGTTTTATGGTAAAAAGTGGGAAAACCCAACTTTTACCCTTTAAAACCAACTATAAACCCCCATTCCCGTAGTCCAATCATGCTGGTTGCAAAAATTACATGTTTGTACTGAATTTCATCAAAATTAGATAAATTTTGCTCGAGTTATCCTGCTAACGAATCAATATGAATTTGAAAAGAGGGTGTTTTTAACTTATGGGACTTCAAAACAGAAAAGTAAATCGATCCCAGGGTTAGGTCTTACCATGAGACCTACGGTAATAGCTTATTCCCTACATGCCAAATTCCCTTATATGTGTTTTGGTTATTGGTGGGTTTTGTGTTTTGGTAATATACAGAATGCAAGCGCAAATAGGTGGACTAGGAATGTAGGAGACCTGACTGTACCTGCCATACGAGAGTGCAGCTGGCATACAGATGGGTGAGAGCAGAGCGGCTGCTTTGTGCTTGACGGGGTGAGACTGGGTCAGGAGTAGACTGTCACTGCACACCAAGCCACACAACGTAACAATCACACACATTACCTTGCATCTCCACACAATATGATACAGGAGAGAACATAGGTTTCTCTAAACTGGAAAGACTATTATTGACCAACAATAGGCCATAGAGCACAACGGTATTAAGGATTGTTTTGTGATAGTAGGCTTGCCTGAATAGTGGATAGGGAAAAAATTAACACAAAAACTGTACACTATCTACAATAATTAGTAGGGGTCTGCGGTGCACCGAAAAAGTCGGTACGGTACGGTACAAGCTTAATTACTGTCATCGGTTCGGTACAGCATTTTACACGGTACAAATTTGGTTCGGTACAGCCTATTATAATAATAAATTACTTTCAGTTTACTATCGTAGTCAACGGCAGTTGGTTCCGTTAAACCCATTAGCAGTCCCAAATCCATTAACATTTTATCACAACAATAATTGTTGTATTCAAGTACTTCCAAGAACTGTTGAGTTTTATCACTTTTATATATTTACGACTTTCTCCAATTCTGTTTTATCATAAAAATAATAGTTTTATGATGACTGTCAAATGTTATCTCTAACTCAGTCAGTATTTTCGTGAATATTCAATTTGCCGCTGGCCATTGCCTACTGCCATAAAACTGTTTATTGCTACATATTAAACTTGTAACTAATCTACAATCTTATTTTATAAGTTAAAATATTTTTTATAGATATTTTATCTTTCTATTGACGAAACCACAAGCATAGTTGTTGTTTACATATTTTTTTTTCGTTATGCAAGCCTACTCGGTCTTAAATTATGTCATTGCATGTTCTGTATCATCTTATATTGTTAGATGTGGCTGTTTAAGGCTTAAATGTTTTTTAGTTTCCTGTATTTTTTATTGTGTAGAAGGTACTTTATGCAATCTAAATCTTGTGAACTAGATAGTGATTTTGCTACACTCATTGTAACCTAACCAATCTATAAATAGTCCCTCCTAAATAATTAAGTCTAGGCCTGGGTCTTTTGATTCTTTGGAAGAGCTTTAAAATATACTAAGAAAATTGGATTGAGCCTGAGATAAACTAATGATTGATATGATTGATATTGTGGATGTTAACTTTGTAAATGAAAAGACAATAATCTTACTCTGTGATAACCCAAATTTTAGTTTCAGAAAAAAACTTTGCAAGAGTTGTATCCATCTTATACCGGTAACTAGTTTTGAAGCTGATAACTAAAAGATGCTCTTTGCCATTACTTGATCACAACCTCCAGTTTTTCATTGTTGTCTGCTGTGAACAGCTGGCAAAACTACACTGTCTTCGTACTGAATGCTTTTATGTTTTTAAATATTTTAAAAACAACTAGACATTGTGTTGGTTGGAAATAATTTACCAGTTTTGTGAAATTATCTTGTCAATAAATGTTTCAAACATGTTTATTCATAAAAACTATTATCCTATTTTCAAACCACTTTATCATGGCTAAGCCAAAGTATCTCAGAGTAAAATAGGTAAAGCCCTTATCTTAACTGTGATTTTTCTTGACACAATCCTCGTAGTAGTAAAGGGTTTTGTTTTAATAATGTGTGGTACAGTAATTGTTGTTAGAAAACCATGAATGTAGGATACTATCCATTTTCATAGTAATGTCAATGTATTAAAGTTAAAAATAATGGTTTGAATAATGGTTTCTGAGAAGAAAACCGCAAAAATACGGGTAGCCGCGTACCGTACCGATTTTGTACCGAGAACCGAGGTACAAAATATTGTACCGTACCGACCTTAAATTTTCAGTACCGCAGACCCCTAATAATTAGACTATTTCACTGTCACTAGCAACGTTTTCAACTGAAGAAGACCAGAGATCTTCAGGAAGCTTCAGAAGATCTTGGACTCATACTTTTCTTGGTTGAAAGTGATGATAGTGACAGTAAAATGTTCTCCTGTGTAGTGAACGGTTTTGGCGTATGGTGTACCAGAATGAACTTTAACCCATACAAGCATGCCTGACGTCCCAACAACAATGATTGGACTTGTAATTTAGCAAAGACATAAAAAGAATAATATTTCACACTACTATTAAGTTTGTTTAAAAAATAATTGACTTAAAAACTTCATAATGGAACTTAAAAATGGTGATTCTAAACCCCCAAAAATAACACAGTTTCCATAAGATCCGTGTCTCAATAACTATATTTGATTAAAATCCATCAAGTACATTACTGTATTAATTGCCAATTGCCAAAACCTTTTGACAGAGTTAAAGCTAATAGTTTGAAACTTAGTACTAGTGGCTTATATAAAAGGCATATTCAATCTATACTTTCCTAACAAAATATTACAGAATATTTACCTGAATTGCAACAAAAAGTTGATGTATTTGTTATAAATAATTAGTTTGTGAATCAAAAGCATTTCAAAATGAGAATATTATCAGTAAAAAGAACAACTCAAAAATATCAAAATTCAAATACTAATTAGTATGCAAACACTGAATTAGCTTTTGATCAATTGTTTTCAGCAAAATCAAAAGCAGAAAAAATTAAATTGTAAAAATGCAATATGAGACGACTTACGTTTCTTCGGTGGGAGATGTAGGTGCGTAGTTTTTGGAGCTCACAGTATTTACAGGCTGGTTGACAACGTTTGTTTTGGAGACAGCTCGGTCGGCAGGAACTGAGATGCTCCTGCTGAACTCCTGAGGGGCCACCAGGGCTCGGGACGTCTTCTTCTTGCTGATCAATTACGTCAAATCAATATTCAAACATAACAATACTTAAATGTTCGTGAAGAGTCTATTTTATAGTGGGGTTGAAGTTCTGGTGGGGAGGCTGCACCTTTAGGTGGTTTAGTATACAAGTTCCTGAACCTAAAACCGCCCAGACCCCAATTTTTAAAGACCTCGGTCATCCGTAATGACGTCATCAAGATGGTGGCTGTAAAAGGATGCTGGGTCGCCAAGAATTTGTTATAACACTCAAATGCCTGAACCGATTTTAATGAAATTTGGCATACAAGTACTTGAATACATTATCTTGGCACAGGTTGTCAATGGTCGAGTTTAATCAAGTCGTTTCAAAATGGCGGCCGTTAATAACTAAAATAATAAAAATGTTTCAGTTCCTCCAGAGATCTGCAGCAACCTATTCATTTTCCTTGCAGTCACAGGTTGTCATGTGATACTGTCTCTGCATTTCATGGAATAGGCAAAATACCCTACCACAGGAAACCTGCAGATTAGGTGAGTTTCCATTTCCCTGATTTGATTTTCAATTAGGCATAAATCAATTTCAATAACATTAAGTTTCATGGTCGGCGAAAATATAATGACTGACCATTGTTAAAATACCGGTGCTGACAAATAGAGGTTTGCAATGGTCATTTCTTTTACTAGAAGTTAAAATACTACTTGCTTTTTTCTGCAATTTGACAATTTCTAGACTTAATGGTGCATAGCCCCAGAGAAGGAAACCATAGCTTAAAATACTATGGAACAGAGCGTGGTACACTACAAGCAAATAAGGTACACAATGTACACTAACATTTTGCTTATGATTGTAAATAATAATAGTTTATACATTGAAAATTGTATTGAATATTTAAAGAAGGGATGTTGTAGATCAGCAAATAATCAACCCTTGTTCCTTGTGGGATTCCAATAATTTTGGATTTTTTTGTTACAGAAATCTCATTATAAAAGCAATAGAGAAAGCTGTCTGCAAAGTTTAAATGGTAAAATACACTATATTAGGCTTACATTATGCAACATTAACATTTATTGATAGCAGTAATTATTTTTTCAATGCACATGATCATAGAATGACGTACTCAGTGAGGAACAAGTCCTCCAGCAGTTCTGCAGCTCCTGCCCTGTTGGCTGGGTCCGGCTCAAAACAGCGCAGGATGAAGCTCTTGGCTTTCTCACTGAGCTCCGAGGGTATCTCAGGGTGGATTTTGTAGTAGCCGACCTTGAACACAGCCGCCTGGGGGGAGCCTAACTCTATGAAGGGAGGCTTGCCAGTGGCCATCTCTACAATGGTACACCCCAGGGACCAGATATCTGCCTGTAACACACGTTCAGTATGTTACCTACTAGACACTTGCAAAAACATACAGGGAGTTTACAAATTGTCTGGACATATTTTGTGGACTTGTTCCTTGGGCTAAGACAAACATAAAATGCCATATAAGTATGGGTCTAAAATGCCTAGATTTCTATCTGTCGGTCTGTTTGTGATTTCTCTTAGGCTAATTATTTTATATCTAGGGTATTTTCCAAGTTAGAAACTTCAAAATTGGTATAAATGTCTAGTTTAGAAGGTAAAAAGAGCTTAAAAATGTTGTTCCAATATCTCAAGCCATTTCAATATGCAATTTAAAATCTTTAATGCAAAATTTAAGGACCATAAATATTAAAAACCACAAAACGGTTTTAATATTTATGGTTTTAATATTTAATATTTATTTTTTATATTTTAATATTTACGGTTTTATGGTTTTAATGTTTATGAAAACTATAAATATTAAGAAAATTGTTTACAACATTGAAAAGATAGAAAATTTAAATCCAAATCAAAAATGTTAAAACCGGATGACAAACAACCGAGTTATCTGTTTTTTTCCCCTACATTCGGTTACACAATTTTAAAGGACTACCATAGTTAGGTCCTATTAAATTGGGTAACCAAATGAAGAATAAAACTCATAACTCGATTGTTTGTCACTTAGTTTTAAATAAGTCCAAACATACAAATAACACAAAAGTAGAAATTTTCTCACTGGCCCCTTTTTCAACAAAAAAGTGGTCAGTGACCACAAACATACTTTTGTGTTGTTTATATATATTTCTATGGACTTATTTAAATAAAGGTAAGCCCGCTTTCCTGTAAATTTCCTAAACAAAATCTATTTCAATTATTTTCAAAGTGCATTTACAGTAAAATAATTAAAGCAGATAAATTATGTTATTTGCAGAATTATTGGAAATATTTATATAACAAATAGTAAACAAGCATTGGATTTCAAACGAAGAACAAAGAAAAGTTTTCTAAGCTTACCGGAGCGCCATATCCTCGCTGTCCTTTGTCTATCACCTCAGGCGCCATGTACTGCAGTGTGCCTGTGAAGGTCTCTGTGCTGGGACACAGGCCTGCCAACCTCTTGGAGGTACCAAAGTCTGAGATCTTCACAACACCGCTGTATGTGTTGACCAACACATTATCACCTACCACAGCACACAATATGATTGAAAAGGACCTTGATATAGGTTCTACAAGAACTAAAATATTAAAAACGTCCTTACAAAAATCAAAATGTGAAGCTCCTTACAAAATTACTTGAATTCCTATGAAAAGAATAATTAGGTACCTTTGATATCTCTGTGAACGATTTTTTGATCGTGCAAGTACTTAAGGCCCTCCAGTATCTGTTTGGTGTAGTAAGATATTGTAGACTCGTTCTCTTTGAGAGGGCCCCACTTAGAGCGCAACAGTGCTGACAAACTACCTGCAAAGTAAACCAATATAGTTTAGTTTAACATTTAAATTATTAGAGATATCTAAGACTAGACTATTTACTTTATAACCCCATCATTACCAATCAGTCATAGTTGTACATTCGTGTTGTATTGTGTTAACCTATCTCAAAGCTACTGGCTGAAGAACTTGACAATCGACCTGATGTTGATGATATCTTAACACAAAAACATGTACAAATCTGACTGATATATTAGATTCTAAAGACAAAATAATTACTTAAACAAACAATCTTGCTTAAAGTGGTTTAAATACCTGCATTTAAGTAACCCAATTCGTTGCTTATGTTGCAACCGGTTTCAACTCTATGGAGTCTTCTTCAGGTTTCCAAGAATATAAGTTATTACTTCATTTGAAGGTTGTCATAGTTTTTAAAAAACGAATAAACACGTAACACGAACATTGAACACTGAGCACTGACGTTTAACATTTAGAAAACACATACAAAATTAGTGAGAAGATAAGCGACGCGTACCGGCCAGATGTAAAGTTCTAGACTGAGCAACGGTACACGTCGCCTGCGTCGCTCACCTTCTCAGTAATTTTGTACGTGTTTTCTAAATGTTAAACATCAGTGCTCAGTGTTCAATGTTCGTGTTACGTATTTATTTTTTATTTTTTTTTTTTTTTAACTATGACGACCTTCAAATGAAGTGATAACTTATATCCTTGGAAGCCTGAAGATGACTCAACGGAGTTGAAACCAGTTGCAACATAAGCAACGAATTGGATTACCCAAATGCAGGTATTTAAACCACTTTAAGTATTATACAGTAATTCATAGGCTAACATCCATCAATATGAAACAATCTTGTCCCACATCAATCCAGCAGCTCAGGGGAAAAACATGGATTTACAATACAATTGTGATAATAGAAAGCTGGGAATATTCAAGCAAGAATATTCATATTAAAGAGTCTAAAACAGTTCAACATCCACACCACAGAAGAGCAATCCCATTTCACAGAGGTACTCTTTTAGACATCACATCAAATCAACTCAGTTTAAGTCCTGAAATGCTAGAATATTCATTATTCAAGGTGCGTCCCTCTTTTAATAAACATTCATTTGCAAAATTTATTGGCAATCTATTTTTATTTAACAATTGAAGATATTCACGCAACACACCTCCAGGTACTTGCTCCATGAAGATCTTGAAGTAGCCGTCTTCTGAGACTGAGCCGAGGTACTGTACAATGTTACGATGTCTTAGCTGGGAGTGTAGCTTGATCTCTTCATGGAGAGGCTGTACATCTCTAAATAAAAATAAAAGGTTAGACATAGTAAATAATTTCTTTAAAGATTGGGATTTTATTTTAACTATATTTTAACCACCTCCAACCACAATAGGCTTTGTGTTTATGCATTGAACGCATCAGGCAATGCAAAGAACAAAAGGCCAGCTGTTCCAGTAAAAGAATGAACTATGATCAAAGTTAATTATATCACCAAGACACAACATTTAGAGAATAACACAGCGTTTTAGACCTTCTAGCTGCTCAAATTTAACGGAAACAACTTTCAAATAAATTTTCCTTGTCAAGATAAAAAAAACAATATGTGTCACAATACACGCTAGGCCTGGGACACAAAAGATGGCTGCCCAAGGCCAGATTAGGTTGAACAGTCAGTGCGGCTACAGAACTTGTGGACAAAAATTCACACATTTTTTCCTGCTTTACTGGACATCTTTTGAATATGTTTGTGTGGGTCCCGGGTATTTTATTTATGGGCTGAAAACTACTGTTGGGCTAAGTTAGGTCAAGTTATAAGCCAAGCACCACAGAAATTGTTTGCACAGATTCAGAATAAAAAATTGACAGTTATACTGCGATTGTGGGATATGATGACACAGCCATGACCGCGGAAGGTGTTCCGGATTTTGCTGTAACCTTAGAAGATGCTCTTGATTTTACCGTGACTGGGGGAAGAGGAAGGAGGATTCACGCTTTCACCTTTACCGCAGAACATGTTCTTGTAAGTGACAGCCAAAAATGTTCTTGGTTTTGCTGAGACCATGGAAGGTGTTCACTATTTCGCCTTAACCGCAGAAGACGTCCTTGATTTTGCCATAACTGCACAGTTTACATAATGTTCTCAATCTCAAAGTGACTGCCGAAAATGTTTTCTTTTTTGCTCTGACCACACAGAAGATGTTCTTGATTTTTATGTGGAAGGTGCTTAAGATTTCACCGTGAGTGTGACCACAGACTAAAATCTGGGTTTTCCAGTAAAAGTTCAAAATTCCAGCATAATTCCCGGTAAAATAAAATCACTCAGAATTCCCAGTCTGTAGCCACCCTGATTTATGTAGAGATTAAAATTAAATAGATACCTACCCCAGGTTCTTTTCTGGTATCTCCTTGACGGCAATCCTGACCTGAGTGTTGAGATCTCTAGCTTGGAATACAACACCGTACGTTCCTTTGCCCAGAATTATCCTCTTGCCTGCGTCATCCAGTTCATATTCAAACTGCAAACAATTAGTCAAAGATTAACAATACATTGGTAGACAATTTTGGGACATTACTCATAACAAGAATGCAGACTGACTCAGTCTTCCTTGAGCCACCATCTTGTTCATTGTGTTCTCTTAATTTTCTTAGTAGTAGGTTTCTTAGTATATAGCCTACATAATGACTGTTTTTGTTTGACTATTTTACAGTTCTCTATGTTCATCATATTAATTTTTGAGCTTTGGCTGGATTCGTGTACTTATCTTCTTATATTTTAGTTACTTCCTCACCTGAAGTTGGGATTAAATTTCAGATCCCAAAATGTTATTTTGAACTATCATGAGGAAAAATATCTGCAATAATCTCTTAAATTAGCATACAAAATTGATGGTTGGATGAAATATAATTGGTGGTACAAAAAATTTCCTTGATAATTGAAAAAACATATCTTTACTGACTTTACTCTCCCTGAATATACTCAATATGGGTGATCCTTGCTATACAAAATACTCGTATATGCGTTCTGACAAAGTGTCATGTAAAGCATGAATAATTTACTAACAGCAACAGTTAAATCAGAAAAAGAAAAAAAATTAAAATCACAACTGTTCCAACCAAAATTAACTGGTGATCTTATTAGCAAAACTACACAAATTCCATTTCATTGTACAATCATCTTGAGTTCGTATTCAACTTAAATATACACCAAGGTATACATCTCCATCTTAAACATAATACAAATTATAACAATAATTTATTTGATGATATTTAGTAAATCTCCTAATCATCTATTTGTTTACAGACTAGAGAGGATATAAGTTTCACCTTGATCTGATCCTGCATGAGGTCCTGGTCCAGTCCCGTGATCATCCCCTCCTGGTCCACCGTCATCTCCAACACCAGGTCATAGAACCTCTGTCTCCACTCAGAGTTGGGAAAGTACATCTGGAAGTCGTCAGAGTTCTGGTGGACGTACAAGAACAAACACCTCTCGTCTCGCTTGTACAAACTGCGGCAGATCAGACAAGTTACAATAGGGTGGGGGGAGATTTTGTATTCTAGTAGGCCTAATAATACAAGGAAGAACAAGTTAAATGAGTGGAACTTACTGAAGAGAAGAAATTCAGGGTGTTAATAACACACAAAAAGTTAACAGTAAAAATTTGAAATTTCACACAAGTCAAGTAGTTGAAACTTGTACTATTTACTGCCTGGAGAACATTTTCTTGGGTAAGTTAGTTGTATATCAATTTGTTCTTCTTAATGTTTTCTTGTAATAACAAGTTCACTGCCGTCCAAAAGATGAATTTAAGGAAGTGCCCTGACATAACTAGAGAGTAACTAGAGAGTTGTGTTGAGATTCCTTCCAGAAGTTAGAAGTAATGAATTGATCAAGCCTGAATTACTCAAGATAGTTCGACCACCACTGTCAGTGAAAAATATAAATGGATAACCCTTAAAACATAATATAACACCTTTAACCAAAATAAATATTTTATCCTTGATATTGTAAATAAAGCACACAGTTTTAAGCTAGGCTTTTTTTTTTCTTAACGCAAAACAATATGTAACTAAAGATAAAAAATATGAGATATCGCACAAATCATCACTACCTGTGATGTTATGTTTAAAATCTATAATGAAGCGATTATTACACCTAGAAATAACTACTCAATGTACCTCACACTCTTGATCATGCTGGCGGTGAACAACCACTCATGGACTTGTCGACAACTTCCCTTCATGCTGTCTGTACATAGGTTCCAGATCTGTAGAGATTTTTCTTCAGCTCCCAGGTTCACGTTGACGTAACTGGGCATGTATATTTTGCTGTGCTCCAAAACTACAATCTGTTTAACAGATAGAAATAAATCAGCACTGCTTTGTATTTTCATTCATTCAACGTTACTTAATATGGATTACTTAGACATTGACCAATCCTATAACTAGATCGTTTAAGGTTTCGACCTAAGGTTATGTTTTTAAGCATTTATTTCAAATAGGCCTAAAACAAATAAAAAGTGAAAAATTTACATTTGATTTATTGGTACTTTCCTGTTAAAGGGAACATTCATTATTATCGATGATTTTTTTCTCGATATATCGATATTAACAAATTGAAACATATCAGCTGACAACTACGAAAAATATTGTTCAGTATCAACAAACATTAATTAAATGAAACTGTTCTAAAAAAATAACCTAACATAACCAACCAAACTTGCTGTAAAATTTAAAAATTCCGTGTTCCCAAACGGAATTTTTAAATGGTACAGCAAGTTTGGTTGGTTATGTTAGGTTAGCTTAGAAACAGTTTCATTTCTTAATCCATATAATAGACTATTTTAGCCTAAACAACATCAGTTAGTTGTTGTCAATTTGTAATGGATCGGAAAACAAAAACATCGATATATCGAGAAAAAAATCATCGATAATAATGAATGTTCCCTTTAACAGGAAAGTACCGATTTATTTTACACTCTTACCACGGTTTGAAATATCCACAAACACTCTTAGACATGGCACAAGTTAATTATAACAACACTCAAAGTGGCTTAGATGAAGTATAAGACTATGAAATCTTACAAAGAAATTCACACTTAATGACTCTTGATAACCCAACACTTGTGAGACCAGAGGGAGACAGATTTCCAAAAATAACAATAAATCCAACCCATAAGCTGAAAAGATTCGGTTTTAGAAAAAAGCAATGTTTACAAAAATTTTTATTTAGCTTATTAACTGGAATGCAGCTTATCTTTTAGGCCACAGTATCCTCAAGTTCATATTCTAAGTTAAATCAGGCCTTCCAAATATAATTTCAATTCCAAAGCAAGTATGGTATGCATGGTCACCTGATAGTTAATGTGAAAAGTCCAATTAAAAATTATCAAACTAAGTCTACTAAAGCACCCAACAATAACTAAGATCCATGTCTAGAAAGACACAAGACTAGTGTCACAATACAATACAAATCAAATTTGAATATTTTACACATACTGTATCTGTCAATGACTTTTTCCTACAGTTATCTAAAAATGTACATGGCGAGGGAGGAATGGTTTCTCGAGTGAGGCAATTGTACTTTGAACTCGAGTTGCACATTATACTTTTCCTACAGTTACCATAAAACAAATAAATTGGTGAAGAAACATAACCTATTTTTACACAGAAGTGAACTTTTAATATAACATTTAATGTGAAGTGACAAATACAACAGTACAACAGCTGACCAGCTGATTTACAGCCAGTGCTGCCAACGTATTTCGCGCGCATACGACGTTGCCTGCATGTTACGCGCTCACTATTTCGTGCCTTCACGTTGCAAATCTGGAGTGAGACAAAGTAATTAGAGTGAGACAATGTTAACATTGTCTCACTGATGAGCGAATTGGCCACTTTGCTTTCTCAAATCAGTGAGAGAACATGCACATTGTTAGGTAACTGTAGGAAAAAAACTAGTTCCCGCAGTATTAGATTACCAAGTCAGTTGAACTATCACATTTCAGATTATCAAGAGTCAACTAACTGTATAGCAGAACTTTACTTTAGGTCAAAATGAAAAACCATAAAAACTTACAGGGAACCTGATGCTGTTGCTGACTTCAGTCTTGGTTGCTTCGACAAAGTAATCCATCCAGAAGGAGAAGACTTGCTCTTCCGGAGTTCCAGGGGAGTCCTCGTTCTTCTTCCGGAAACGATCAATTAGTGAAATGTTGCCAATGGTGGACTTGAGATACCTACGATATTTACAGATATTTCAATTTCTCATGATACATGAAAGCATAGAAATTATATTATGTAAAAAAATCAAGTCCAGTTTAACTAAAAGGGATTAAAATGTCCACTTGTTTCTAAAATTTATTTATGAAAGATTGTTATGTTTGTTTACTTTTTAAATAAAAACACCTAAGTGCAAATGTTGTAACACATGCCCGGGGGAGAGGTAATCTGTGGCAGTAAATTTTTGGAGAGGTGTCAGTGGTATACCGTTGTTTGTTGTTTTTCAGAAGTAGAGAAAATTCAAATCAAGCGCCATAGATAGCTAACATCGTACACTACTTGCACTTGGCAAACTCAAGTTTTGCATAACGAAATGTTCTTAAAAGATTACATGTTATCTTGATAAATTCAGACCTAAACTGGTATTTAATTCATGTTAAGCATGACAAATTTACAACTTAAGAAAACTGTTTCTATTGTGGACAATGTTAGGACTTTTTCTCATTACACATCTTGAAACGTTGCTTTAGACGTACCAATTGGGAGGTTTCAGTTTGAACATACACTCAGCCGCCTGTATTGCCTTGGTGTAGTCTTCGGCCAACACACTTATCTCGAAAAAGGTGGCAACGTCCCAGTAGTCCTGTAGAGACGACAGGCTGCCCTTCCTGCCAATAAGGTTGTTCAACACCATTCCTGCAAGATCACATCATTTATTACCCTTAACACGTTGAGTGCGAGGCGAGGGAGTTCTCGTCCCACCGTACCAGCACCATTGGCTTGGGCAGGAAATTTTGTTCTCCTCGCATAACAACAACCTTGCTTCCATGCTCAGCCTCGCACGAGGACCGTTGTTTCTGATTGCAGCTTATTGTGCCAGTTTTATAATTTAATCCAGTATAATTCGTTTTCAGATCTGACTATTTTATTGGAGGCAGGGACTATTCCAAATTTGGCATTTTCAAATATTTTTTTATATTGTAACCGGATTTTTTGTCCCTACTTTTTCCATCCTTTTGGCAATACTGAGGGCTGCTGTTTAGTGCTGCTACCGGTTGGATTCTTATAAAACTACGTCCACAACGACTGAAACGTAGTACATACTATAATATGCCTCTTCTATATAGGATTATACTAAATTTAAACATTTTTGCAGAATCATCCACGCAGCACATTGGCTGCTCCTGCCACTGGCCGGCCATTGCACGACCGCAGCGAATGTTTTAATGAAAATAAAGGGTGAAATATGTATAGCTGACTCCATTGTATTTATAAATTGACTGAACCTAAAACTAACAGTTTTTTAGTTGTATCAATCTATGAATACAGTTGCCCCACAATAATCTGACATAGTCTTATCAGCAGAAACAAAAAAAGTCTGCATCAACATTAATTTCCCTCCCTCTTAGATGTACCGCCATTGTGTAGCCTAGTTTTAACAAATGACGTGTATGTTAGGTACTTTTTATTTACTTAATCAAGCTACCATACTGTCCCAAACATTATTAATATAGTTATAATTACAGCATAGCATACAAAATGAAGGTGATATTTTATGTTGATGAAATGTATTAAAAAAGACACCCAGTCGGATAGGAACAGCTATACTCTACTTATGATATCCAAGTCAAATGCTAACCTAACATTACCTCATGAGTAAATAGCTATAATATATCAAGTTTATTATTATTGGCTATTAAAAACTTAAGATTAACTAATCTAATTAATTACAGTTCACTTGTAAACATTGCTAAGTGTGATTAATATGGGAAAATCAAGGAAAACCATTGATCAATTTAACCAATGGAGTTGTATATCAAAGTTCTATCATAAAGGTGTTTTATTGGTCTGAAAGTGGGAAATAGTCAACGCATAATCATCAAGTACCACAATGTGCAAAAGTTAAATACAGGGTATCCGAAGAAGAACGCTGGGATTTTAAAAGATTTTTTCTTTAGTACTATTTAAGATAAAAAGATAAAGATTTAACATCAAATTAGAATTAAAATTACCAAGTTTTGTTTTCCATGTAGCAAGGGATTAAAAGTTGATCTTGGCAAATGCAAAACAAGTGCACGATGGCAGTAGGCTACGCAGTTGTGACTCTCGTGCCTTACGTCAGTCTATAGCCCCAGTACCATGTTTATGGCGCAACAGAAGGCACAGTGTGTTATATCCAAAAATCTACTGCCCGATTAAGTCTTCGATTGTTCAAACCATTTAAAAAACACACAGCGAAGCGGGCAGCTACAGAGCTGCAATTTGTGCCATTCTGTTCACAAATTATGCTAGTAAGTTAGAAGCCTTGTTGCAGCATACAAGCAAACTCCGGATTTATACACAAAACCGGCCCTTACTTAAAAAAACTACTGTAAGTTAAATATTATTACTGATACAATTTTTAATGAAATGATCAATCAATAACTCTTTATTTTATGTTTTACTCCAACTGACCTATGTGCTGAAGCTCGTCCGACTTTGAGAACTCACTGCCGTCTATCACAAGCAGTGTTGCCAAATTGATGCCAGCGTATTCATTAGGTTGGACCTCGAATCCTTTACGATACCTGAAATTACAAACAAAAACTAATAAAAGGTGTTTCTGAACTAGTTGCCAGTGTCTCAGATTTAAATGTAAGGGTGTCGGGTTCTATCCTTGTAGTGATGTGCCACAACCACCAGAACTTAAGAAAAGTTTTGTTTTAGAGACTCAATTGGCGAGTTTTGAGATTCAAAACTTCAAAAATTACTAAAGTTAGTTTTATTTATTTCAGTATTTTTGTCCATAAAAAATATTGTTATGTCTGAGTCAGAAGTTTATTTTATATTCAATTCAATTCAAGATATTCAGTGTTTGTTGATTGTATTAAAAATATGCGTTTATTATAGGCTAAAAGTGTATTAGTCGCATATTCATGTTATTATGTAAGGGTTAGGAGTGTGATTTCCTTCTGTTTTGATTGCATATTAAACATTTTATTACTTTTGTATATTTTATAATCTTAACCAGACAGATAAATAAAAAGCTTTGCATTGACGTAAGTTATTCAATGTGTTTAATGTTGTTTTTAGTTTTAATATTTGAAATACCTGGTCTCGACCATCACTAAGTTCTAGCATATTCACAAATATTTGACGATTGGACTGCTTCCCTTAAAGGTAATTGGAGTTGATCCCTTAAGAATGTGTTATTGGCATGGATGCAAAGGTTATTAAACCAAATATAAATGGATAAAAATGGACGATATATATTATATACCTTAATGGCACAAATTATTAATTTATCCTCACCAGTGTATTGCACTAGCCAGACTAGTCTTGTCCGTATACTGTGACTCTACAAACTTATCCTTATAGATGCGGCCACATAGACAAACCATGTCGGGGATGTGGTTCTCTTTCTTTTCCAACGCCTTCTCAATTACTTGCAACGCTTTTTCTCTGTCTCCTTCTTTGTTTCGTCTGCAACATTACAAATTATTTTCAGATTAAATTTAACAACAACTTGAAAATAGCTGGATAGAATAAAATTACTGGGATGTATTGGCATCATAAGCATAGGAGAACTTTTGCAAAATGAGCTTGGTTAAAGAAGAATCTATATATATTTTACAATCAATAAGAAGAGGATCAAGGGAGCAATATTTTGCTTAAAATATGGCTCCCTTGATCCTCTTCTTATTGATTGTAATGAAAATTTCTCATTTCACTGAGTCAGGGACACAATACTGTATGTATAATTTAAGATGCATAAGAGTGGCGCATTAAGGTAGTAAGCATAGACAAGCCTTTTACAGGTCTCTCATTAGCCAGAGGATATTTCCTCCTAAGCCCAATGATCAATCCAATATGAATCCATCTAAAAAATGAATTTAGTTAACACTAGATGAACACTAAGTAACAGACCTGTTTAATGCAAAAGGGTAGAGAAAACGAATCACAGGTGTCTGAATATAGTTTTTCTTGTTGGGGATGGTTTTCAAATCTTCTACCAGCTGAACCATTGCATCGTAATCCTGTGAAACATTGCTCAAAATAAAATAAATGCCAGCAAGAAAACATACTTGAAATAGCAAGTAGGCCTAGTTTAAATCAGGAAGATAAATTTCTGATAGTGGAAAATACATGTCTAACAGTTTAAAAAATTGTCACGAGTCACAAGAGATAACTTACTACTATACCACAAAATTTGATGAATCCTTTAAAATTCTATTAAAAAGTTTGCAACGTTTGTAATAAGAATGTTAATTTGGAACCTGTGACGGCAATAATTTAACAAATTAAAAATAGTTGTTTTATAATAATAATTCAAGCATCACCGTCAATATTTTATATCCTGAATCAAACTCAAAAGAACACTACATTCACTTACTATTACATAGTAAAAATACCTCTGGATTAGATTTCCACCAATATATTTCTTACTTTAGTGGAAAAATTTAATTTTTGCAAAAACGGTCGGAACAGTTTGTATAAATATTTAGTATGTCCGTTTAACTCTAAACAAAACAGTAAAACCCCATTTTCTGTAAATACTACGTATCAAAAATAAAAAAATTATTGTAATTTATGTGATTTTCCTATAAAATAGAGAGAAAATCGGATTTTCGAAATCCAGCTCAACCGATTTTAACTAAAATTCATTATGGTCCCAATGAAAATAGACAAAATAGCACAACTTGTATTATTGTAAAAAGAACAGTTCAAAAGTTATTGCAACTTTTGTGGTTTTCCCATAAAATATCATACTTACTACAACTGCTTACCCATGTTGTTGACAAGCTGATGGGAAAGATGTGTCAGATTGCTGATACCGTTTATTTTACTGAACAACCTTCATAGACATTTTCTAGCATAACATCGCTCGGCTCAAAAATCAAGCCGCTTGCACACTTTTAATGTAAATTACCTGACCTGACACTAATCACTGTACTAGCCGTACTAGAGATCATTACATTTTGGTATTATGTTATCACTAATCCGTTATTGAGCTATAACAGGTAATTGTAAACAGTTATTTCTATAACCTAATACAGGAACTCCAGGCAGATATCGGTCAGTCCGGAATGAAACGATGACTTACTGTTGCCAAGCTAAACTGTTATTCCTCAGCCGTTACTGAGCAGACAGTTATTTCTCCACTAGTTATTGTGTTGACTGTTATTCTAATGATTTTTTTATGAAGGGTACACTTACTATTTCACTCTAATATTTAATAACACTGTTAAAGTTTATGTTTAACAAATAATGTTATCATCCCAGGATAACAGGGTTACAGTGACAAGCACCTAGCGTTGGTATATCTAATGGAACCGTTATTCAAATAACAGAGTTCTAGCAGTAACCTAATACCATGATAACAGTTATTTGTTGATAACCCTGTTATTTTGACTAATACGTTATATCCGTACCTGAATGTCCCTGAAGGAGATGAGCATGCTGAGCACGGCCTCCCCACACAGTACGTGAGGGTCGTCCAGTCTCCGTCTCATGTTGTGTAGAGCCTTGGAGAGTTCCTCACCAGTCAGAGTGTCTCTAGCCTTGCGTAGGTCAGACAGAAACTTCTCCTTTATGTGCACCCTACATGACAACAGAACCTTAAGTGCCACCCTTAACACATAGCCCAGATACTCTCTTTCAATACAATCTTTATTTTTAACTAGGGATGGTTCAATATCAAATGTTGACTTTCGATTCCACCGATTTATGGCTTTGGAACCAGAACTGAGAAATGATTGTCAACATTTGATACTGATACCATCTATTCCAGCTGTCTGTGGAATGATCCAAATATAATTAGCTAAGCTGAATTAGTAATAAGCCTGAAAATAATACATTTTCTTTTTTCTTTTGTTGTCAAAGGCTATTTCTATAGGCCTACTAAGATAGTCAAATGTGTCTACCCTTTTATGTACATACATTTCAATGAACTTATATTTTTCATTTTGTTATCACCACCCTAGACTTTTGTCAGGAATGATCCCCAGACTGCCCATTTGCTACGTTGGCAACAGTTAAGTTATTACTGGAGAGTGGAGATGAAAAAAACTTACAATTTTGTTTTTAAAATCTACTATTTTGTACTTTTACTATGTGAAACTCTGAGGGCTTACTTGGCTTGTATTTCGACTTCCTGCAGCAGTTTCTTCAGCTTGATTGTGAGAGGTTGCTGAGTATCCAAAGCCTCTGTGTCCAGCCTATCCGCTGCTGGGTTGGTCAGCAAGCATGTCCCACACTGAGCCAGCCGGTAGGAGAGGAACAGGAAGTTGCACGCTGACATCTGTACAAAGCCGGATAATTTAGTCACAGACATGACTGGTGTACTGGTGGCACAGTATATCAATTTAATGAAAAAACCGACAAGTTTCTACACATTTGTTTTGAAACATTTAGAAAAATTCTCAATATGATTTAGCATATTCCCACCTCCTATATTCTCCGAACCTCCCAGTGGCCAATCGAATATTGTAAAATGGCATGCTATTATTGTTTGGCAGAGTTTGGGGAGCGAGCTGGCGTAGTGGTTAGAGCGCAAGACTTCAGTCCCGGGTTCGATCCCCGCCAAGTCACCAATGGATTTTATCTAAGTGATAATACCTAGGTCTAGCCTGAAGTAATGTGGAAAACAATCCCAGGCTCGTGCATATCGTTCTAGGCCAAAAAAAAAAATTGTTTGGTAGAACCACGGTCGCCTTTAACTATGGCCAACTGGCAACACCGCATGGGATGACCGAATGGCTATGACTATGCTACACCACTGAACGCTCGCACCAGTCGCACAATGGGGGATTAGAACAAGCACGCAAATTATCTATTAGTTGTTTTATATCTGACTGCACTGATGTGTATGAAAAGAAGGAAATAATCATGCGAGGCTATTGTGTCAATACAAGAAAATATTTATTAACAACTTTATGGTACATTGAGCATTTAAGTATTATTAACTAAGAATAGTAGTTTTATTCCGTCTTTTATTCATAAGTACTTAAGTATTTATTAATTGTTAAAATGTAATCCTATTTGCATTCTTATTTAATAAACTGTTCTATATAGGCTATTGTTTTATCAATATTATTAGAATAATGACGTTTACTATGCAATGTAACATTTTTCAAAAACAATAAATAATATTATTATTATCAAGAAAGGATTCCTACGGTTACAGTGGCTACTATTTTCACTAAAAACCAGCAAAAACAACTGAAAGCTGATTACAAGTTGTCGCTAATTTTTACTTATTACAGAAAATTATACGGATAAACTATGTATCACACAAAGTTAAACCTTTTATAGTTACCTATAGCTGAACTTTTATACTGGTTAAGGGAATGTATATAAAAGCAATATTTGCTACGAAAGTAATATTCTTGAGGATAATCATAAGGCATAACCTGCTTGAAATAATTCAGTAGGCCTACATTAATTAACTACACTATAGCTTGCGGGCAGCTGCACGCCGCTCCGGGGGCCCATAAAACTGAGATTTTGTCGCTCTGTTTAAGTTCAACCCAAAATTTTAACAAAACTATACATCATAGAAAGAAAAGTTAAATACAAACAATAAAGTATATTTAATTATCTACAAATTTCTCACAGACGAAACTTCTCTCACCAACAACAATTTTAGTAGGCGACTAACTTTTTCACTTTACTTTTCCAAACTTTTTCTAATATATTAATTCAGAAAATTTGTTTATGCTGATAAACAAAATTTTGATTTTCAAAACTACACCATTGGTATAAAGGGTAATATTCGCTAGCTCTGTACCCAATTTCAAAATTGTATCTCAATTGTAAGGGTGTACAAATGAAGTATATTTAAACCGTGACCACTAGTTCCGTACTACTGTAGGCTAATGGTGAAACGGTTGGGAGTAGATGCTTGGCGCGACGTTGCCAATTCTCGCTGGCCGTGGCCGTGGTAGAACTGTATTTGGCAGCAGTGCATTGAGAAAAGGCCCTATTGTTTAGAAAAACCTGGCTGTACTATAAAAACATGCGCCAGGCTTTAGAAATTTTTGCTATATTGTCTTATGTTGAAGTACGTGGCATAGGTATGCCACAGGTGTAAACCTGATTTTTAATGGTTTTCATGATCATTGAGACTCTGCGTCCCATATATTTTTTTATAGTTTCTATTGTTTTCCCCGATGAAGGAAAACATTTAAGGGTTAGCGGCATATGAAGAGAATTCATATGATTCCAAAAAACCTGCTACCCCCAATGTTATGTTGTTGTGGGACACCTAGAATTATTTAAAACAAACTTATGTTGTTCAACACTGGCCACGATGATTATTATTTATTAAGATGTTATTATTTGTATTTAATTAAAATTGCATCTGTTGAGGTAAATCTTGACAGGGATTAGTAAAAACAAAATAATGTGGTAGTATGATAGTGTCTTTATAATTCTTTTAGGAAAACAGCTGATTTCAATTGCCTACCAAAGGGCTTTTTGGAATAAAATACTTCCTTAAGGGTTGAACTTGAACACTTTTAGTCACCAAATCCACACTTTACTTTTCACAGCTTCCTCTTACCTTGAGCCTGAGTGTAGTCTCGGTATCCATGTCATTGTACAAAAGCCAGTTCTCCTTCATGCCAAAGCTCTGGCGGACACCCAGATGATAAAACAGTGAGCTCTGCTGCACAACCAAGGAGAGATCTACCATAGCTACGTCCGCGTTGTAAAATGTCGTCAAAACGTTAGTCTCACCAAAATCCAACTTTTCAAACTGAAAACAATAACGAAACACGATTATATTGGGGCATTGGACAAGTATTAAAGATAAATTATTAAAAACTAAAACTGAGTACTGTAGAATCAAATCTGCTCAGAACAAAACAATAACCACCAAATTAGTGACTCCTGACAAAATTATATCTCCTGCAAACGTTCTCTGTTTCAGTAGAAACAAACTAAACTAGGTAAACCAACCAACAAGTTTATTAGCTAATAGATTATTAACAGCAATACCTGAATAAGATGTAAATTAGCGTGGACAATAGTGCAGGCCTGTTTAATGTCTTCTAAGGCTCGTTTGCGATGTGCAAGATGCAATGGTTGCTGCAGGTCGATGATACAGACTACGTCCATCGTAGGTCTTTGACTAGTGGCAGCATCACTATGACTGCCTGCACTTTCTGCCAGACTATGACTATCTGTAACAACACTCGTAACTGTAGAGCATTGACCTTGTAAATCTAAATAAAGAGTCTCTGGTATTCTATAACAGTGTACCGTTAGATGAGCGGAAAGATATCATAAAATTTAAAGTAATAAAAACAGTGTGGCCCCAGAAAAATTCACACGTTTATCTCGATTTTCCCAGAAGCAAAATCTGTTTTTCTGGTCAAGATTCCAGATTGCCAGAGGTAGCTTGTTGCTAGGGGTCTGTGTGTAATTTTTTGGTCTGGTGAGGCTTAACATATGGCCCGAGAGATGAGCTCGGGCAGAAAAAATGTATCGCGCCAAGATTGGGTCCAGTTGAGCTGATCCTATATTTATGCGATCAGGGGAAGCATTTATGAAAAGGCGTAATCGAAAATGACAATTTCCTTGTGCTCGCGAGTGATTTTCACAGTTTCACCGTGATCACGGGAGATGATGATGTCGCCTTAACCGTGGAGATGTTCATGATGTTACCGTAACCTTGAAAAATGTTTACGTCACGGAAGATCGTGTCAGTTTTGCCATGACCAGATTTTTTAAATTTTGAAGTGGTTGCGAAATATGTTCTTGATATTCCATGACTCCACAATGTATAAACAATTTATATCTGACCGCAGAAGATGTTTTTGATTTTCCATGACTGTAGAAGGTGTTCACGGTTTTGCCATGACCGTAGAATATGTTCACAATGTCACCATGACTGCAGAAGATGATTTAAGATTTCACAATTTGATCATATTTTCTTGATTTTGCTGTGGTTGTAGAATATGTTCATGCTTTTGCTGTGGCCACAGAAGATGATATGATTATGATTTTGCAATTATCGCAGAAAATTTTCTCGATTTTGTCATGACAGCAGAAGTTGTTCACAATTCATCCCTGACCTCGGAAGATTTGTTTAATTTTTCTGTGACCGCAGACAGTGGTCAAAATTGTACTGGGGCTGTGAATATTTGTATAATTCCACGATGACATCTTAACCCATTGGAGACCGAGTATTTTATTCACTGACAATAGCTAAAAACTAGGGATGGACGGGTCCCGAAATTTCGGGAATTTTTCGGGAAAAAAATATTCCCGATTATCGGGACGGGGACGGGATTACATTTGACTCGGGAATTTTTCGGGACGGGATTTGGTCCGATCGTCGGCGATTTTTCCGCTTCGCGAGTGCCGATAACGCCGTTATTGCGAGCGACAGGTCCGCGAACGCAGGAGACGAAGTCATGTCGATGATTACGCCGTGACCGCGGAGTCCTACCGACGTCCGCGCCGTGACCGCGAGTCATACCGACGATCGCGCCGTGACCGCGGAGTCCTACCGACGATCGCGCCGTGACCGCGGAGTCCTACCGACGATCGCGCCGTGACCGCGGAGTCCTACCGACGATCGCGCCGTGACCGCGAGTCATACCGACGATCGCGCCGTGACCGCGGAGTCCTACCGACGATCGCACCGTGACCGCGGAGTCCTACCGACGATCGCGCCGTGACCGCGGAGTCATGCTGACGATCGAGCCGTGATCGCGAGTCATACCGACGATCGCGCCGTGACCGCGGAGTCATACCGACGATCGCGCCGTGACCGCGAGTCATACCGACGATCGCGTCGTGACCGCGAGTCATGACGACGATCGCGCCGTGACCGTGGAGTCATACCGACGATAACCCCGTGACCGCGAAGTCATACCGACGATCGTGCCGTGACCGCGAGTCATGACGACGATCTCGCCGTGACCGCGAGTCATGACGACGATCTCGCCGTGACCGCGAGTCATGACGACGATCTCGCCGTGACCGCGAGTCATGACGACGATCGCGCCCTGACCGCGAGTCATGCTGACGATCGCGCCGTGACCGCGAGTCATACCGACGATCGCGTCGTGACCGCGAGTCATGACGACGATCGCGCTGTGACCGTGGAGTCATACCGACTATAACCCCGTGACCGCGGAGTCATACCAACGATCGCGCCGTGACCGCGAGTCATACCGACGATCGTGCCGTGACCGCGAGTCATGACGACGATCGCACCGTGACCGCGAGTCATGACGACGATCGCGCCGTGACCGTGAGTCATACAGACGATCACCCCGTGACCCGCGAGTCACAAGTTTCTATAGGTTACCCATTTTTTGGTTTTTATAGATCAGTGCCACAAATGGTAAAAATTGATTTCGTATGTCTCTTTTGGTAACTGCAATACAGTACTTTCTTTTTATGCACAGAAAAAAATCCCGTCCCGTCCCGTCCCGAAAATCGGGAAGGAAATAAAAATCCCGTCCCGTCCCGTCCTGAACTAAAAATTCAATCCCGTCCATCCCTACTAAAAACCCTATTAAAATGGGCCAATTTGCAAAGGTTTACTAAAAAATCTGTAAAAAATTTATTTTTTTACCTAAATATATAAAACTTATGTTTTTCTTTATCTAAAATAAATTTTCTTTTATGTAATGTGGTTTTTACTTATTTTTTTTTGTTTTTTTTTAAGAAATAAATAAAAAAAAATATTTTTATTTTTATTTTTGCAAGCAAACATAAATAAAATGAATTTTTTTGAGCCCATGAGTCATACAATTGATATATATGTGTGCAGAATTTAATTCCTTACGTGGAAATGTCAAGATTATCTCTGTAGGATTTATCCTTTTTTTTATATATTTATTTTTGTAAATCATTACAAATTTCAAAATATTGCGATTTCTCAATAAAACAATATAATAATAACAGGACTCTTAAGTTTCTTGTTGTAATCCATTTTAATAATTATTTTGGTAAAAATTATACATATTATTAGCAAAACATTAAAAAAATAAAAAAAAACTCCCCATAAGTGGATTTTTTTTTGCGACCGAGACTCGTTTGAAGAAGCACACAAAATCTACAGGCTACAATTGTTCACCGACACACTTATGAAAATGTCCATGATACAATGTTCTTAAGCTTCATAATAAAAACTAAAATATGACCTAAATAATATTTACACAATATTTACAAGTTTGTTGATAGCTGTCTTTCTAATAATTAATCTTCGTGTGATATTCCTCAAAACATTTTTCGAGGTGGAGAGGCACCAAGCACTTGTTGCAAAGCCATCTTACTTCAGATCGAATTTTGTTTTTGTAACAAACTCTACAATTCCTAGTAGGTTTTTGTTTTTTTTTCGGTGGGGGGGATTTGCATTGGGAAATGCCCCCATGCTTTACTCTGAAGTCTCATCGGGTTGTCTTTGGCTGGTCGACCTGGACTCAGACGATTTGGTAAGCTGATGTTTTCAAGGATTTGTTCCACCAGGGCAATCCTGTAGTCTCTATAGTGAATTTTTTTTCCCATGGATCATCTTCCATATACAAAATGAGTTAAAAATGGTCATGTCCATTAGGTAAAAAAACAATTTCTTATATGACTTGACAGTTCTTCGCATAATTGGGTGGCTGGCTAACATCTGGTCTTGAACGTCTACGCCCAGCATACCTTTATTGTAATCAATAACGCTTTTGGGTTTCAATACTTGCCTGACTTCTCCCCTCCTCTCTATCTCCTTGTCCACAGTCATTTCTATGCTAGCATGATGAGTAGTTGACAGAACATGAACATCCTTACGGTCTTTCCATTTTACCGCAAGGATACCATCCTTACTCCGCCTCATGGCCTCTCCAACTTCCAGGCAGGCATTGTCAAAATCTTCAGGCATATTGATTCGTTCAAGATTTACTGTTCCTACAACATGTGTGCTGCGTTGAAGTAAACGTTGACATAGACTAGGGGAGTTATACCAGTTGTCTATAAACAACACATGGCCTAAATCTAAGACCGATTCGGCCAATTGCATGACGACGGCTTCGCTAGCAGGGACGTTTGGGGTCTTGTCATCGCCGGTATAAATCTTTAAGTCTCCACAATACCCACTGGAACTTTCACACAGCTTATAGATTTTTATTCCGAATCGCGCCCTTTTTTTAGGATTAAATTGTACGTAAGATAGCCTAGCTCGAAGTTTGACAAGGCTTTCATCAATGGCTAAATCCCTTTTCATTGTATATACGTGCAGCATGTACTTTGTTTGTAGGTAAGAAATCACGGGCCTTAGTTTTTTAAGCTTATCATTTCGATCAGTGAATTCCTCATCAGCAAAATGCATAAATCTAGAAATCAGCTTGAACCGAAAGTAAGACATAACCTGTGCATATATTGGAGTTTCTAAGATTTTTCTAGCCGTCCAATACATTTTAATTGTGGGTTTCCTCACTTGGCCCATCAGTATGTAAAGAGCAAAGTATGCCTTCAGCTCAGGTACCGTCACTTCCTGCCACTTGTCATCATCTTTTAGTCTGCGCCTATTTGGATTTACTAATTGCCTTGCAGCATAATCATTCGTTTCACGACAAACCATCTGAAAAAACTCATCTCCCAAAAACTCTTCAAAGCACTGAAAAGCCGAGGGGTTATCTCCTAGCTTTCTAGCTGAGAAAGGGTTCAAACCGGACTCATCAACATATGGAAATTCTTTTACAACGTTGTCTTCATCCGCCCATATCCAAGCGTCAGCCCTTTTCATTCTTTTCCTTTTTTTCTTTCCTCCAGCTTGCCCATTTGTTTCTTGCCTTCCTCCTCTACCCCTTCCTTGCCCTCTACCCCTACCTTGCCCTCTACCCCTACCTTGCCCTCTACCCCTACCTTGCCCTCTACCCCTACCTTGCCCTCTACCCCTACCTTGCCCTCTACCCGTACTTTGTAGAGTTCTACGGCCCCGTACCATTCCTTGCCCCATCCTAGTCCCTACAGCCCTTGGCCTATCCCCCTGACCCTGTACCTCTTCATACTCCATTGGTTGTGGGGAATCGTTTGATCGATTTTGTTCTATGCATATTATGTCTAAGTTTGGTTCATCTATGCCTAGGTTAAAGTTTTGGTCATTTAGGCCTAGGCCTAGGCCTAAATTAGAGCCTATATCTTGGTCCACATTGGATGTATCATACCTGGAATCATCAGGTTCAATTTCAAATTCATCATTTTCACTATGAATGTCTTCGAGAGCAACTGTCTCCAACGCATCGTAGTCACTATTGTTGTTTAAATCCGAGTCATCACTTTCCTGCATAATCCTATCGATCTCACTTGAAAATATTTGGTAGAATTTATTTGGCGGACTTGCCATTATTTATAAACTCATTACATAAACCACATTAGTCTCCAATGGGTTAAAGTGTTTTTTTTTTATGACTTTACTGTGGCTTCGGAAGATGTTTGCAATTTTGCTGTGATACCAGAATACGTTACCCCAGACGATGTTTTAACAGTCAGGTTTTTCATGAACTAATGGAGTTTCATGAGCGTTTGGTAAGTACAGTACGTAGCCAGTTATTAAATCCTTCTAAAGTTTTCTTAAATCTATTTTACAGTGAAATGAAACTGAAATCAGGTATTTCCCTATACTCAACTCGTATAACTCAACTTGTATAACTCAACGCGTAATTCCCGGTTTTCACGGAATTCGAGGTCTGTGGACACCCTGTAAAAAACTTAGTAAAAATGTTAGGCCTACTAATTATCTTCAACACTTCAACCTTTAAAAAACTGTAATTTAACTACCTATCAACAAGAGGCTATGTTACATTAATGTCCAAGTGATCCTGGAGTCGTCTAATGGTAGGCCTAACAAGTTTCGACCCCTATGGTGTAATTTTTATGTAAAAGGAATGACGACAAAATCTTCCCCACAAAAAAAGAATGTAAAAACTGTTTTTAATTATTTACGTAGAGTACGGTTCCTTAAGTCTTAAAAAACAGCTAACCCACATGAACATAAAAAATACAATACCAAGCACAATACAGATCACTGCTATAACAACTAATAAGGCACAGAGACGACGACCGACTAAGGAAAAACCCCTTTGAAGTAATTCGGAAGGCAATAGGCCAATACAAAATTAAGATGCCAACTAACATAGGAATGATTTTCTTAGAAGAATGATTAGTTAAAGAAAAGAAAGCATGATGGAATTTTCCTATATCTTACCTGCATTATCCACAGCTAATGCAACTTCTGGGGCAGTTACAGGTGCAGGATTTGAGTTTGCTGCTCCTGCAGTGGTAGTTGGCATGATTCTTTTTAATTATCCTGAAACAAAATATTACTAATTTTAGAATATTTTGTAGTAGGTCGATTCAAATTAGGCTCAGTTATTTCCATAAAAACATAACGTAGCCTAAAAACAGTTTGTTAAATAATTCCAATTCAATTAAAAAACATCAGTTAGGCCTATTTTTATCGCACTATTTTTTGGCGTTGCTTAGACCGAGTATTTTTCTGGAACAATAAAACCCAAAAGTTCAGCATATTAAACCAGTCATCAATATCGTGGATATTAATTCAATTGATGAAACTTAAAAGTTCTTGATGGCATAAGGTGAAAATAAACTAACACTGTTGCACAAGGATGGGTCCAAATACAGCTTGTCAGTTTAAAGTTGGTCAGTCAATCAGGAGAGATAAGCGACTCAACTTCCTCATCGATGATAAAACACTTATTGGCTTGTTTTAAATTAATACGTGTTGTTGTTTTAAAAATTCACAACTTCTCCAAGTGAAACAAATAATCGCAATATTTATTAAATGATTTCTGGACAGGACAGTCAACGTAGCCAGAGGCAAAGTAGTGAGGTAAACTTGCGTTGTTCTAATAAGTTATTTTCATACATTGTAAGTAGAGAGTCAAAAATCTGAACTGCTCCTGAAAGTTTTAAAATATTTAATTAGCACAGAGACAACAGATGTTTTACAAACAGCGCTCGGCGGGGAAATGAGTGAATGCGCCTAGCCAGTTAGTGTTTTGTTCGTTTCCAATGTATAAACTCTACATATTTTACAAAAGACGAACTCCAGTAATGTACCAAAAATACCTAAGTACAAAAACTATTGTTTTTATTTTATTTACTGTATCCTAGAACTGTATTTTTCATACTGTGGGCATTTCTAGGTAATGTTTGAAAATCCTAACGAATCGGTTATCTGAACTACCTACGGTCCCAATTGGTTTGGATTTTTGATGCTCTAAGTAACTGTATTAAAAGGATGAATTAAAAAGGACATAATATGGATGCAATGTTTTCAATAACAGTAGGTTGGACCATTACACACAAATTTGTTCATTCTTACACACTGGGTGTGTTGCAAGCCTAGTAGTTAACAATCTCTTCGATGCGGGAGGGATGGATTCAACCCCGACACGTCCACAACATGTATGAGTTTAAACGGCTTGCCCTAAAAACTTTTGGATCAGAGCCCCATTTATGAATAGGCCCATTTCCCGGGACGAAAGAGGTTTTAGGTTTGTGGTGCACAGAAGAGAAAAATCCCCCCACAATGTGGTGGAGAGGGGCGCAATTATCTCTCGGGCCCAAAGCTCGACATAAAACGCAATTAAAACATGCAACCGCGGGCTTGGTTACTTCCATCAGTAAAAATTTCACCAAATTAAAAAAAAGAAAAAGAAAAAAAGAATAGAAAAATGACTACCTACTCTGCAATGTAAACTCACAAAAGCGTCAAAGGTTTATAAAAATTCTGATTCCAATAGTCTTATATATTACCATACTTTGTTGTCTCTTTCTCTGCGTGGGAACAGATAAGATTGACCAAGCTATGTCATATCTCATAATTTTATAGATAGATTTACAATAAAAAGCCAAGTATGCAACATAACTCTATATAAATTGAATATCCTAATAGGGATCAACAGGTTTAATTTTTGTGAACGTATTCTCAAACACAGTAAATGATCTTCGAAAAACTCTTGTAGCCTAATTTGAATTTGAACGATGGGTTTGTAAAGAATGATTCACGTTTTCCTGTGACTCAACCTTCAAAGTTCTCTCAGGATAAGAGATAAGTTGTGAGCAAAACTCAGTGATAGTTTGTGTCTCGTGCTATAAACTGTGGTTGTTGTGTTTAACAGTCTTCGGGTTGTTTATAGTTTTAATAGATTGTAGTGCGCAGTGCGCTGTGAAACATTCTTACCGGTACTGTTTTTGTTTGCTTTATTACGTAACAATGAGTGATATAAATTCTAAAGAAGTTTATCATTCCCAGGCAAGGACCATAGTGGCTAGTGTAATTCACTATTTTTATTTAGAAAAAGACAATATGGGCCCTTTGAAAGAAGTTACAAAAGTGTTAGAGAGAGTGTCTGAGGCATGTGGTGTACCCATAGATACGGTAAAACGTATCAACGTCGAAAGAAAAAAAGCTGTTGAATTTAACGACCACCAGCCTGAAAATTACGAGGATATTGATGCAGGCAATGTAGCTTTTGTATTTCATTATTTTTACTACCGGTATATAGAAACATTGTAGGTTCTGTATAATACTGTATAATGGTAGCCTACTGGTGTATAATGGTGTTATTGACTTCTAGTGGAATTAAAACATAAAGATTTTAGGTTAATGATAATCCTGAATCCTGATTTTGTTTTCTTATCCTGAAATAAAACTATTTCAGGATTAGAAAACACAACTAGAAATTGGATTATAGGCCTATTTATAACATTGGCCTCTTTCTATTGTTAGCGTTTTTCCGTTTCCCGGTGAAACGGCGCTTTTCCAGGGAAAATGACAATCATTTTTAAATTCAGGACATTATGTAGCCTAACATAGCCTAGCCTATGAAAAGTGAAAAAATATTACAGTGGAACCTTGATAAGAAGACCCTCGATAACAAGTCGCCTTGGTAAAAAGTGTCATTTTCAAATCCCCTTAAAATTATCTTACACCTAATCACATGTTATTACAAACCACGATAAGAAGTCAACCTTGATAACAAGTCTTATTTTACAATCCCCATGAGAGTCTTGTTATCAAGGTTCTACTGTATTTTAGGCCTAGTTACCCAAATAATTACCGAAATGGTGTATCCTAAGTTATCAAACTGAATCAAAATCAATACCGGTACATTGATACTTAAGCCGATAATAAAGCGCAGGGTTCTCTGCAGAACTGTACGTGAATTAATAAATAAATAATGAAATGCTTTATTTTCCATTAGGCAAATAGTGAAACATAGCCAGGGGAAGTTAGGTAAACTTGCCTACATGAACTAGGAAGGGTGTTAAGGGGTACACTTCCATATCTGTTGGCACAAACAACCGACTGAGTAATATTGATTAGGTCTATTTGATTGTTAATCAATATCTTGATCGATATTTTCATTCGGTTGTTTGTGCCAACATGTATGGAGGTGTACCCGTGTTAACCCCTTAACCGCCGTCTAAGTAGCCTAGTCAAAATCCGCCATTGCCACTTATTTTTGCCGTTTTTGACGATTTTTACTTGTGATTTAATAAACTGTACCAGTTGTTTTTCTAAAGAAAATAGTTATCAATATTGTTTGTAGACATCTTCAAAAACATTAAGCTTTAACAATACCCTACTAAAATTTGTGATTGTGGGGGGGGGGTGGGGTTCGGGGGTTTCTTGAGTTAGGCCTATAATAAAAATTAGGCCTACAATAAAGTCTACAACTCTAATAAATCGTCATCCTCAAGCATGTCACCAGCCATTACGACTAATATTTACTACTCATTCAACACTACCACGTAAATAACCACCAAAAAACACAATTATAATAACACGCATAATGTACGTAAGCATTACGTAAGCTTCCGCAAGCACGAGTTTTACTGAAACTACGAACGGAACTGATCGGGACCATTACTGACCTATAATACCACTAAAATCCACCAGATTGCAGCACTAGTCAAGCAGCACTGTCAACAACTTGTTTACGTACGTATATCAGAGATAAGGCGGGAAGTGAGCTGTTAAAAATAAAACACAACAGCTGATTACGTCAACACGAGATAACTCGTACGTGGCGGTTGCTCTGAAAACTAGTATAGCCCGGCATATCTCGTGCGTGGCGGTTAAGGGGTTAAGTATAGAACATAGCCTAAGTTATAACTTAGGCCTAGCCTAAATTAGTTTAAGGTAAAAATTAGTGCAGCATATTTTTGAAGTAGCTTGTTACAAGTAAAGATGCTTGTTAGTAGTTAAAAGTTACTGGGCCTACTGTATCATAAATTCCCCTTGAAATCATTGACTGACCCAAGCCTTGCAAATCAGAATCAGAAATCAGAAATATTTATTTGTCATTGGACATTACAAAAATGCATTGACAATTGTCATGTGTATAGCATGGCTACAGTCAGGCTAGACATTACAACTAACATGTCCAATATGTTAATTTTTTTTTTTGTGTCAGCTCTGTGGATTACCAACAGTATGGAGTGTGATTTAACAATAAATACATTTAGTAAATAAATATGAAAATTTAACAAAGAATAAATTATATGAACCAACAACAAAATACAGATATTAAGATAAAAATTTATAAGAATTAACAATTGCAACAAATGTTGATGGACATTTAAAATATAAAAAACAGTAGACAAGGTCCTGCTAACAAGAGATAAAAACAGTATAACAAACGCTGATAGACAATTAAGATATTAAGATAAAAAAATAACAACAATATAAACTAACCAATATTAACAACAATATAAACTAACCTAGGCACTGACAATGAGTCTAAAACTGAACTTCCTTTATGGCCATGAAGTCGTCAATAGAAAAAAAGGGTTTCTTAAGAGCCAGTCATAAAATTTACTTAAAAATAAAGAATGTCTACCTGGATAAAATTGAACAGTCTTACTCAATTTATTAAATACCTTATCGGACATAACAACATGACTTTTCAATGTTTTACTCAGCCTATTAAATGTTCTGTTTATCTGACAATTACTTCTTGTATTATATGTATGGACTTGATTGTTAAAAATTGAAGTTGATAGATTCTTTAAAGCATAAGACATAAGATCAAAAATGTACAAATTAACAACAGTTTGAATTTTTAACTCGAGGAATAAAGGTTTACTATGAACGTCTTGGGTGGAACTTGCAATTAGTCTAACCACCTTTTTTTGTATGATTAAAATATCTGTAATTTTGCAGCTGTTTCCCCAGAAGATAAGACCATAACGGAAAATACTTTGGAAAAATGCAAAGTAGGCCATTTTTATGTAGTCAAAGTCAACAAAATACTTAAGACGTCTAATGAGATGTACCACTCTGGACAATCTTGCAGCTATATGATCGATGTGATTGTCCCACTGAAGGTTATTATCAAGATAAATGCCTAAAAACTTAACACAACTTACATTATTAGGCAGTTCAAGGTTAACAGGCCTGAGACTAAAAATAATATTCTGTGTTTTATCGTTATTTAATAGAAGCCCATTTTCTTGAAACCACACTGATGCCTTGTTTAAAGCCCCATCAGCTAAAGGTTTAAGTAGATCTAAATGATTGCTAACTGATACAAAAGTAGTGTCATCAGCATACAGTATGGTTTTTGTTAAGCTAGGTATTTTTTTTGGCAGGTCATTTATGGCTACTAGGAATAACATTGGTCCCAGAACAGAGCCTTGTGGTACTCCATACTTGAGAGTAGCCTCGTCCGACCACAAGCCATTTAAAAGTACACGTTGTTTGCGATTTTCTAGGTATGATTTAAAAAAAGAGAGAGCAGACCCCTTAATGCCTAAGTCCTCTAATTTGCACAATAGATTATCATGGGCCACACAGTCAAAGGCCTTGCTCAGGTCACACAGTGTGGCCCAAGCAAAGGCCTTCCTCTCAAAAGTATTTAATACTTCTTGTACTAAAGCATCGATGGCATCTGTGGTTGACATACCACTGCGGAATCCATATTGAGAAATATAAAAAAGATTGTTATTTTCTAAAAAATTGCTGACTTGATCAAACACAAGTATCTCAATAACTTTAGATAGGGTTGGTATGATTGATATGGGCCTATAACTTTCAGGCCTATTCCTAGCACCTTTCTTAAAGATTGGACAAACACGTGAAATCTTCAGTTCCTTGGGGAAATGACCATTGAGCAGACACAAGTTGATACATGAAGTGAATGGGTGTAATATACCAGATATAATGTGTTTTAATGAGTTGTTTAATATATTGTAGAAATCATTACTATTAGAATTTTTTAGGCGTTTTACAGCTTTAAGAACAGATTTGGGAGTTACAGGATTAAAGGAGAAAACTGGCGGGGAAATGTGATTGGTGTTATGGATTTGACTATCTGGAATGCACTGAGTAGCTCCTTGCTGTTGCACAGTATTAAGCTGCTGCTTGATGCTCTCAACTGAATCTATGAAAAAGTCATTAAACTGTTGTGGTGTTATTGGAATTTTTTCATTAGAACGAGAGGTCTTAATGTTATCTTGTATTACTTTCCAGGCAGCCTTACATTTATTAGGTACTGCTATTTTCTATGTAATTGCGATTATGTAAAATTCGAGCTTTTTCTATATTTTGTCTATATTTTCTATTTTGTCTATAAAACAATTGTATGTTGATAAAAACATTGATAGCCTATTCATTCATAGGCCTATTCATTGTGAAAAGATGTAGGCTAGGTCACTTCCTCCAACGTTAATCCCAAGTAGATAGTACCCCGACCATCCCTGTTTATAAATAATAGAAAACGAATAAAGTTTTATCAATCTAACAAATAATAGCCTGGAACTTGATCACTGACCTTTTGCTGTCACCTTGATTATCCTTTTCCTACATGTATTTAGGCTAACACATCAATTATTGTGTATTTATAGTCTTCTGAAATTCACGATGGACTTAAAATGTTGTCTTCCTCTGCCATTGGCAGTAAGTTATTTACCTACAGCTATAATTTTACAATAACGAAACAATTTATCATCAAAAACACAAACACTAACTTGTAACTTGTCACTCTTGTCAGAGTCAGGCCCAGGCCCAGACGCAGACGGTCTTCTCACTCAGTTCTCATCATTCAAACGTTGTGGTTGTATTCTTTACTTCGATTGAAACGCTGAGCTGCAACCGTTGCAGCACGGCCACCTTGCTATGAGAACGGCCGCGGCCTGGTAGAATTAACTAGCGTCTAGATACTCAGAGCAACGAGTCGGCTCACCGGAGCAACAGTCGGGGCTGCACAATTTTTATTTCAGCTGCAGTTTTTTAATACGGACAAAATGAGAGTTTAAAATTAGAAATAAAAAATATTATAACACTAAAAAATATAAAATTAATTTTTTAATTATAAAATTAAACTGTCATAATCTAACCTAACTAACCAAACTTGCTGATAATGAAAAAATTGAATGAATGTTTACTAATCGAAAAAATAAGTTCTGTTCATAAAATAAAACTATAAATAGCTCAAATTAAATTTTATAAGGTTTTAATTATAAAATTAAACTGTCATAACCTAACAAAACTAACCAAACTTGCTGATAATGCAATAATCTTAGACAAATAGTTTGTGCCATCGATGGGATTCGAACCTGGTACCATCAGATTCTCAGTCCGGCACGCTATCCATTTGACCACCGAGGCCGATGGCTCCAAACCGTATCGTTGCGGTAATGGTGTTCCCTCAGCCAATAGAATGCCCTCATTTTGTCTTGCTCCGGTGAGCCGACTCGTTGCTCTGAGTATCTAGACGCTATAGTAGAACCTAAGCAACGTTAAAGTAGTGTCATAGATAAAACATACTCCCTTAGGCTGTGGTTTCCTAGACGCGTAATAGATGCGCAGCGGTTTAGATGCGCTGCGTCTTTTATCCAGGTCCCAAAACGCAGCCGACGTGAGTGGTTTCCTAGACTGCGTACAATACACACGGTTGGTGCGTAACATAAGTTCATGGGAGAGATTACTAGTGGCTACTATGATGTTGTACGATGATTTAGATAATGACATGGGTATTTTGGCATTAACAGCTTTGAAGAAGCGTAAGCAGTGAAAAGTATATGTTAGGAACTGTACGTGGCCCTCACGCATCTTTTAACTGTAGTGTTAAGGCAAACATGTCTATTTGATGCAAACAATAAATCTTAATTTACCCTGTCCAACTTTGCTTTTACTGTTATTATATTTACCTATTCGGGATTTACCAAATCGATGAAAATACCTTTTAGAAGTATAACTGCAATAATCATTTTATACTTATACGCCAACCCCGTAAGAAGTTTGGGTAGGCTACTATGCTAGTAATTAATATAGAGTTATTACTAAGATGTTCAAGAGTTCTTAAAATAATTATGGGGGCTCTAATATTTGGGAGTTGGTGTTGTACTGATTTGAAATGAATATTTATCAATGGTAGGTTTATTTACTAATAGCAACAATAAGAAAATATGTGAGCTCAAATTAATTGTAGGGAACATGTAACAAGAGAATCAACTATTAAAATCACACATTATGGGGAAATTAACACTACATAACGAATGATATGAAGTACTATACAATTTTAATTGTATGAAAAATTATTTCCATAATATGTCATTAGGAAACCAAATTTAACCAATTTTTTGTCGTGTGAGAATTTTGCCTTCTGTACAACATTTACTTCCGAATCCATTGCATAAGACATGTCTAAAACGCAGCGTAACTCAGATTCGACTGCTCCGAAAGCAGTCGGTCAAATACGCAGCTATTGGTGCGCGCGTATTAGATGCGCGCGTATTAGATGCGCGCGCATTAGATACGCAGCCTTGGAAACCGCTTACACGAAACTCCATAAGACAAGTGTGCTGCGTCTTAGATGCGCACACGCAGCGCATCTAATACGCGTCTAGGAAACCACAGCCTTAGTAGATTTCTCATCCTAATGGAACAGCTGAAGACAATTTTATTGTTAGTTCTGTACGGTTTAAGTAGAGGTCGTGTTTTGTTTACAATTTGTTTCCCGTTAATACAGTCATTTAAAATCTCGTTTAACCAAATAATACGATCTAATCATAAACAATAAATTGTCCCCTAGTTATTTAACCAAACAGTAAAGCACAAATCAAGAAATTAACCCTAAAATAATAGAAACAAAATTTCGTCGACACTAGTGCCCAGTGTAGCGTACATGAACTAGACATGAAAAACGAGCTTCAAAATTTACAATGGGATGAGAAGTCTACTTGTGTTGGTTTGTCTATGGTAGTGTTCTCTAGCGCCAGACGTCCCCTAAGATAACATTAACTCATTCGCGTCACGGCCGCCTTTACAGGCCGCGGCCTTCGAACTGGCAACGTCGCAAGTGGTGTTGTAACAGCTGTTTTTGTTTGGAAGCAGCTAATTGGTATTTGTGTGTTTACGAAAGATTGGTTACTAGACTATGACAATATTGACTCCGGTTAAAAATGTACACATATATATTTTAATTCATATTGTTTCGGTTTTCAATTCTGTATGTTTTATTTTCGATATTTTAATAAATTTATGTTCATAAATTTAAATTTAAATGAATAAAGTGCGAATTAATGAGCTGATGTCAAATGTCTGCCATGTTATCTTATGGGACGTCTGTCTCTGAACAACACCACTTGCGACGTTGCCAATTCTACCAGGCCGCGGCCTGTAGTTAAAGGCGGCCGTGGTATTATTAATTTAAATTTAAATTTATGAATATTAAAAGATTGAAAATAAAACATATAGAATTGAGAGTTAACAGTGGCCATGGTTGCAGACGTTGTTTTCGTCCACAAACTTCTTAGTTGCCAAATTTGTTGTCCTGCTTTACTTGCTCAAATGGGGGGAGGGTGCGGAATACTAACCCCTGGAAAACCACCCCCCTCACGTCATGTGAAATGTGACCTCACGAAATCTGCCAACTAACTAATATGGATGCCGTGTCCGCGACTGGAATATACTACCCCTCCTTGCACGGCCTCCTCTTTCCTTGTCCTTGCAAAATATATGATGCATGTATTAGAGCTGATTTCATATTTAACATTTATCATGGTAATTTTAATTCGAGTAATTCCGTTTGATAACAGAAAAGGCGTGTGTGTTATATCAAACAAAATTTTTGAAATGTTACAGCAAAGTTTTTTTTCGTTAGGTTAGGTTAGTTAAGAACAGTTCATGACGTAGGAACCTGCCAGGGGGTAGTTGTCCGCGGGGCAGTTTTCTGGCGACTCTGCAAGTGGGCCTCCGTGTGCCTTCTAGAACCCGTTTACTAGATCTGCTTGGCAGTCCGCACTTCGCACTTCAGTGACCAATACGATTAACATGCTCCTCTTGCAAGATTTCTTCGTCTTATTGGGACACATTGGGACCTCTTGGGGACATCAGTAGCTACATGTTTGGAGACACCACAGAGACTTTTCGAAGGACGGCCCGTCTGACTTCCCTACATCAACAACTAATCTATACATAGGTTGTTATTATTATTTCAATTGAAAATATATTTTTGTACATTTAAGGTGAATTCAATATTTCCATAGCCAGTAACCAAGCTTTTGTATTCTTAAAATATATACACAAATACTATTAGCTGTCTAAAATAAACAGCTGTTACAACCACGGCCGCCTTTTACTCCAGGCCGTGGCCTTCGAAGTGGCAACGTCGCTAGGGTTGTAACAGCTGTTTTGTTTGGAAGCAGCTAATGGTATTTGTGTATTTACGAAAGCTTGGTTACTGGACTATGAAAATGTTGACTCCACTTTAAATGTACAGATATAGATTTTCAATTCATATTGTTTTGGTTTTTAATGCTGTATGTTTTATTTCCAATATTTTAATAAATTTGTGTTCATAAATTTAAATTTAAATCAATAAAGTGCTAATTAATGAGCGAATGTCACTTGTCTGCCATGTTATCTTATGGGGCGTCTGACACTAAACAACCCTAACTGCAACGTTGCCAATTCTACCAGGCCAGGGCCTGAAGTTCAAAGTGACCGTGGTTAAAAGATGGCCGTGTTACAACCCTACCACGGCCACCTTTAACTCCAGGCCGTGACCTCGAAGTGGTAACGCCCATGGCCACCTCTAACTAAAGGCCGTGACCTTCGAAGTGGCAACGTCGCAAGTGGTGTTGTAACAGCTGTTTTGTTTGGAAGCAGCTAATGGTATTTTGTGTATTTACGAGAGATTGGTTACTGGACTATGACAATATTGACTTCGCTTAAAAAGTACAGATATAGATTTTCAATTCATATTGTTTTGGTTTTCAATTCTGTATGCTTCATTTTTAATATTTCAATAAATTTATGTTCATAAATTTAAATTTAAATCAATAAAGTGCGAATTAATGAGCTGATTTCACCTGTCTGCTATGTTATCTTATGGAACGTCTGTCACTAAACAACAAAACAACACCACTTGTGACGTTGCCAATTCTACAATGCCGCGGCCGGTAGTTAAAGGTGGCCGTGACCCTACTTGTGAAGTTGGGATCCCTTCAAGTAGGTAACCTTTCAAACTGGTGAAGGGACCTACCTGCCCGATATTGAAATCGGTCAGGTTGGTTACTTTTCAATTTGGTGAGGTAATGAACGCCCTCTTGCTCTTGTGGTGGGGGCATCGACTGCTCTCATTGGCTGCAAGGTTTCTGGGGGAGGGAGTAGTTGTTATGGGGTGAACAGTGCTGCCAACCCAAAAGTCTGGAGCAATAAACATTCCCATACAAGGGTAATGTGGGTAATTCCGATATTTACGGCTACAAAGTAGGCAGTATAAATGCCGAAGGAAATTATATGTATAAAATATCTAGTTAGAACTTTTCATAGGTGAAATACTGTAAATAATAAAATACGATATTAAGTCCATCATCTTGCGAACCTGTTTCTCTCCATGCCCCTTGGTCACTGCTAGGCTACTTTCTCTTGTAACTAAATCTACAGTATTAACGGGTCAGATTTTATTAATTAACTAGCTGTTGCCGTTGGCATCGCCCGACATACTTTTTCGTCTTTTATTCTTTACT